ACCGCCAATTGCCTCTGCCTCCTGGTCGGCAACATGAGATTGAGAGCTCAGGTGCTTTTCTTGGGTGGCTCACTACGGCAAGAAAGGGCCTGGGAGCGTATTGGAATGGTTGATGGACTGCACCCTGCTATTTTTGGGACGTCTGAGCGACGTCTTATTGATATTGTTTAATATGTATGGATGGTGCAGCGGGAACGTCAAGGGTACACGTGGAATCTGTGATGGAATTTCATTATCAAATCAAGATTCGGGTAGGCCAGACAGATTGTTTATCACGAGCAGACCAAATGACCTTCCATTAATTGAACAACCGTTGATCATTACCATATTGACAGACACATATGTAACGCAACCCCCATTGGCTTCTCCACTCACCTCTATCATTTCACTTGGGCGTTACATCTTGGCTTTTGGACTGAAGATAAGATTGATCATAAGTACCGAGGCTAGTTGATAAGCTTACCTGCCATCCTTGTAACCCTGTGCCCCTCTTTCTTGGGGTCTCCTGTAACAGCCAAGCAATTACGACATTTCTTCGGCTTCGAGGATAGAGTGTCCATCTAATCACGCAATGTGGAGCTCGTATTGGTCCGGAACATTTGGGTCGTAGTCTTGGCCGCCTTTCATGCGTGGCCTACCATCTTCTTGCAAACCTGCCTAATGTGGCGTCGTATCCGTTGCCTAGTGTGCATGGCCCAGTGATTGAGACTAGGACACCTTCTATATCTGGGAAGTCTCCGGCTGGCAAGGGAGATTCGTCAATCTTGCCAAGATCAAAAATTCCTCTTGCCAAAGGCAATTGCAACCCCCTGTAAGCCCTGATTGGTGCTTTGTATTAATGGTAGAGAGCCAAGATACACCGCCGTTGCTTGCCGATCACAAGACTCGGGGCAATGATTCGTAAAAAGTCCAGAAGGACAAGCTGGGCAATGATGAGGCAATAGACGAATTGATACCCATCAAGGTACCAATTCCGAGGAGGCCGGAGGAGATAAAAAGGCCATTCGCCTCTGGTGCATCAACATCTCAGCTCCTCAGCAGCCACCCACATCTCATATCTCCTCCGCTCATCTATCATTGGAAATCTCAAAATGGTTCGTGCCGCGGTTGGTCTGGGGGCCTTGGCTACCCTGATCTCGCTCTCCAGTGCCAAGGAGATCAAGCCAGATGAGGCCAAGGCAGCAAGACTCTATGACTCGGGAGTTGTGCACAACAACCTCATGGCCCTCAAGAATGTATGTTATATGCCAACCTTTGACCCCGATGGTCAACATCTAACACTGTATCTAGGAGGAGTGGGCTCGCCAGGAAGAAGCTGGAGCTTTCCAGAGCGAACAATACCCAAAGCTAGGCTACGCACGCTGTGTTGACGGCTTTGCCGAGGCTATCAAGGGTGATCGCAACAACACCTTTGCATGCCACAACGTGAGTTGAGACTTGTGTCTTCTTGCATCGAGGCCAAACATTCTGACTATGTCCTAGGCTGATCTCCACTCATTCCTGAGCCATGCTGCCCTTGGCAGCACAGGAGGACGTGGTTCTTCATCGTGGGGTTGGACCTCTGATGACGGCCGCGAGTTCGTTGCCATTGGCCAGTATGATGGTACCGCCTTTGCCGAAATCAACAAGAAGGGCAAGCTCATCTATCTTGGCCGTCTGCCTCAGTACTCTGAGCCATCTCAATGGCGCGAGATCCGCACATACAAGAACTATGTCGTCATCGGATCTGAGGCCGTTGGTCATGGTGTTCAGATTTTTGACCTTGAGAAGCTTCTCGACATTGACCCAGCCAAGCCGGTCATCTTTGACGCCAAGAAGGACCTGACTAGCCACTTCAGCGCTCTCCTACCTCTTGGTCGTGCTCACAATGTTGTGGTCAACGAGGAGCTCAATTATGGTGTCGCTGTGGGCGCTCAACCCAGAAACGACCCCAACTGTCTGTCGGGCCTCAACTTCTTCGATCTCACCGACCCGGCCAACCCGGAGTCGCTTGGCTGTGCAAAGGGCGATGGTTACGTGCACGATGCTCAATGCCTCGTCTACCGTGGACCCGACGAGCGTTACCAGGGACGTGATATCTGCTACGGCTACAACGAGGACACCCTCACCATTTACGACGTTACTGACAAGGCGAACGTCACCAACATCATCTCTCGTATCTCTTACGAAGGTGCCTCCTACACCCACCAAGGCTGGGTCTTGGACACCCAGAACCAAGAATTCCTTGTTCTGGACGATGAGCTCGATGAGCAGAACGGCAACGGCCCTGGTGGCGATGGTTTCCCAGTGACGTTCATTTGGGACATTAGAGACCTGGAGAACCCCAAGCAAACGGGCTTCTTCAAGCATCCCACCAAGTCCATCGATCACAACCAGTATGTCATCGACAACTTCATCTACCAGTCGCACTACGGTGCTGGTCTGCGTGTTCTGGATGGCCGTTCTATCCCCGAGGATCCAACCGGAGCTGGTGTGTATGAAGCTGCTTGGTTTGACATCTATCCCGAGGATGATGACTTGCCCGGCGGTGGCGCGGTCGCATTTGTCGGAACATGGTCCTCTTACGCCTTCTTCAAGTCGGGTTACATCTTTATCAACACCATTGAACGTGGTGCATTTGTTGTGAAGCTGACAGGCAAGCTCTTTTCCAAGTAGTGTACCTAAGAAGAATCATCAGAGGGAGGACCTATGTGGCACAGGTAGTTTAGCTTTGGTGGTAGTAGTTACTTATGGTTTCTACTCTAATTATTTGCCAACTGCCCAAAATCAAAGCATTACTGTGCTAGACAATGAAAGCAGTCTTTATCATAAGTTTGTCTTTGCCAACCCATAGGCGTCACCTAAAACTGTGTCTACATACGCCTCAAAGTGCATTATTCTACCCTCACTTTCTCCTAGTGTTCGCCCGCTGAGCTTACTTGCTAGCCTTTGTCTTGTAATTTGGGGTGTTTCTTGTTTTTAGCAGAGTGTAGATTGCTTTTTTATAAGTAGATTCCAGTCAAAGGCTAAGTCTATCCTAATTCTCATTAGGAGATAGAGAAATTGAGTAACCAAGCTATGCAATTAGGCTCCCTGAACAGCCTCCAGAGCAACTCTCACAACTTCATCCAGGGACTTCTTTGGCAGCCCCAAAACCTCATTCATGATCGGTCCCTCTTTCTCCAGATGACCTCCGAACTTGCCAGTGACAAAACCAGTCTCAATCAGGGCATATACGGCGTATGGGTCTCCAGAAGCCACGGCCGCCTGCTTTTCCTCTATGAAGCGGAGAGTATCGATTTTGTCCGTCGTGTATTTCTGACCGCTGATACGCTCAATAGCCTCAAGCAACATGTTCTGGGTGATGGCAAAGTCGCTGAGCCATACCACCTGGTTCTTTGTTTCGTCCCATTTCTTTGCTAGGGCATTCACCAGGGCAAGAGCGGTATTCTCCTCAGTTGTGGTACTGAACCAACCCTCGCCATCGTCCCAGACCACAAATTTCTTCTCCTTGATATGCATTCCCAGAAAGTCGTGCTGTGCACTCCACTTGAGCCACATGCCGCAAGCAATGGCCATCCATTCGAGGCCAGTCGATTCCTTGGAGCGAAGGTAATCCTGAATCTCGCCCTTCTCACGAAAGACCGAGTTGAGCGCTCTTGCTTCAGGCCTGTTGTTGTTGAGGCCATACTCAGACGAAACATAACGTCTGACTTTAGCCGCAACGGCCGAATCGATGAATCGAAGTTGTTCGCCGACCGCGAGCGACGTCATGCAGTTGATAATGGCATCCTGACCAGAGAAAGCGCGGACCAGTGCCTCAGAGGGGTAGGAGTCATCAACTGTGATGGTCTTAAGACCGGAAGGGAGTTTCCCCTTGGATGAGGATCGCTGCAAAGCAGTAACAACGAAAGTAGGTTTCTTGACGAGTGCTTCGAGAACAACAGAACCAATAGAGCCTGTGGCTCCAATGATCAGGATGTTCTTGAAAGGGGAAGCCATTGTGTGGGAAAAAGATGTGCGACCTGGTATCGAGTAGATTGTGTGAATAATGAGGTGTGAGGTAGTAGTGGATGTTGATTTTGTGTCTCTCTCGCAGTTCCCTAAGGTCTATATATCTACGATCTACGTCTCATTCAGGATTCACTGATGTCTTTAGTCAGTCGATGGAGCGAAAATTCTGATGGCTTAGCTGAGTTATCATGCTGACGGCATGCAGCAAGGCATTCCTCCAAGTGCTAGAATGTCATAGATGCACGTTACTCATCAAAGATAACCGCTGCGGCGGAAGGATGCAATGGTGTTCACTAAACAATATGGGCTGTTCATAATCATATCATCCAGGATTTATGCGGTCGGATTAATTTCATAACCCCGCCGTTGTCGTTGGTCCCGCCTACTGAACTATGTTTAATTGGCCCGTTCCTCCATTCCTAAGCCAACGGCGCCTCGGTGCCACCCTCCTCACCCGATAAGAATATAGCATTTCTCATCAATGGGATAATAAAATAAGTTATCTCTTTAAATATCTGTATTAAGATATGTATTAATAATTAAAGCCTTATATATAAAGCTAAGAGGCTTATAATAAAACTTTGAGAATAATATTATAATTTTTATTTAAAGTAATATAAATTTAATAAAATAATAATTAATAGATTTTTTAAAAAATCTTAAAATTATTTCTATATTAATAATATTTAATAAAGAAAGTTATTAAAATTATATTAAATGCTTATATTAAAGAATATATTTTAAATAATATATACTTATAATAGATAATAAGGTAGCTTTAATTATATTAAGTTCCGCGGCAAATAAGTAATAATCCACGTGACGAGATGCGTCTTTTCTTTTCTAAATTAATTGTCTCTTTCCTAACCAGCGACCCCACCATGTATATCCACCTCTACCAAGGTACCCACAGATCAGCAGCCCGCGACCTCCATTCCGCACCCTGTCCCTGTCACTGTCGTCTTTGCTCATAGTCACGGTACTAGCTGGATAGGAACTCTGCAAGAATGAGCAAGTGTACACTGTGCAACAACCTGGAGCGGAAGCATCGCGAGCATCGAGTCGCTATAGACTTCCCCGTATCGGAGCTGGAAAGATCCGCCGTTGGTGGGTGTCAGCTTTGCTCTCTGCTGCATGAGGGCATCTCGCGCTTTTCGTCGCAGATTGGAAACCTTTCTTGCATTCAGCATGTTTATGCTTGGGGAGATTCTGTCGAAAATGCCGAAAATTTGGAAGTAGATTTGTATTTCAATGATGCAAGGCCGAACATGAGATTACTATTCTTCGTCGAGCAAAGTAAGTCCCCTCTATGCTCGGTGGGACTCTATGTGTGTTTTTTCTACTGACCATTTTGGGCTTCATTTGCCCCTTTCACAGATTATAACTCTCCGTGGACTGCGTTCAAGCCTCTACCAAGACTCCAAGGCAACACTGCCTCGGATGACTCTTTTACTTGGGCCACTCGAGCCCTGAAAAATTGTGATGCCAACCACCGAGAGTGCAAATCTCTTCTGGATACAGAGCTGCCGACGAGAATTCTTGACCTTGGGGACACTGCAAAGCCAGTGCAGTTGAGGCTTCTCGAGCCAAATGGTGAAAAAGCTCGATACGCCTGCCTTAGCCATTGCTGGGGAAAGACACAGCAGATCACGACAAATAGAGCAAACATATCGTCGCGCAAACGGGAAATCTTGTTTACATCGCTCCCAAAGACCTTCCAAGACGCCGTCGTTTTTACTCGGAAGCTCGGTCTGCGGTATCTGTGGATCGACTCCCTTTGTATTATTCAAGACTCAAGCTCGGACTGGATCAAGGAGTCAGCCAAAATGGCATCTGTCTATCAAAACTCGTTTCTGACTCTCGCTGCGACCAAGTCCGCGGATAGCCATGGTGGCTGTTTCTCCACGGACTCATCCCCTCGTTCCGGCTACCCGCTCAGCCGTGGCGAGAAAACGGTTGGAGTTTACGTCCGAGAGGAGTTTCCACATTGGGACGTTGTCCAAGGCAGCCGCCTGCTACAAGAATTTCCCCTCTTGACACGCGGATGGGCATACCAGGAACGCCTCCTGGCACCAAGAGTCTTGCACTTTTGCCGGAGTGAGCTCGTATTGGAATGTCTGAGAACAACCGTCTGCGAATGTTCTTGCTTTAAGCCCGCATCCCTCCCCAAGGTTGAGCATTTTGCCGCCATACGAACGATTCATTCACACCAAGCAGGGTCCGAAGAAGCCAGACAGCCCTCACTGGCCAGGTCTGCCGGAGAGTCATTTGGAAGAAGGAGGCGTGTGATCAACACGATATATTCATTGTTAGGGCGATCAAGCGCAGAACCTACCGATCCTGATGAGCTGTCGCGGCGGCGGATGCAGTATACTATGGAACAGGAACGTGCTAGATTGCTCGACATGGAACGCCATCAAGAAGCAGCTACCCTTGCAGTAGCTTCTCTAAAACAGAAATGGCACGAGATCGTCAGGATTTATTCCAACCTCACCTTGTCAGTGGAAACCGACCGTCTCCCTGCTATTGCTGGATTGGCGCGGCAGGCACAACGGTGCCGCACCGGGTCATACCTGGCAGGGTTATGGCAAGATTCACTGGCAGAAGACCTGTTGTGGCGAGTAAGCAAGTTCGTCCCTGGATCTAACATCCACAGGCCAGCATATCGTGCGCCTTCATGGTCGTGGGCATCTGTCAACGGCGGAGTCTCCTATCTGAAAGGCCGATCGAGCAATGCCGGATCCGATTTCGATCTCCAAAAGGCAGTTTGTATCCCAGTACCTGGTGCAGACCAGTTTGGCCAGATTGCCAACGGTCACTTGGAGGTTAAATGCACACTTCTGAGAGCCCGGATACATTACGTCTTCAGTAGCGATCGAAATTCAGCCTCTATACACTACAAGTTGGTCATGGGAGATAAGATGGTTACACTTTACGCCGATTACAGCCTCTGCGAGGAGGGGGAAACTCAGGTGAAGGAAGGCGAAGAAGTGTTTTGCTTGAGGGTTTTCCGGGATGACCATTCAACTATCTCGCTGGCACTCCGACAACGGAAATCCAATGAATACGAGCGGATTGGGATAGTGGAATTCCCAGTTGAAAGCTCTAAAGGTGCTCCGGGAGCTTTTATTGATACTACTGAGGTCTTTCCTGCTCGGGAGTCGGGGGAGTCTAACCCTACTATAATTGTTCTCTACTAATCCATTTTCAGGTTCTGTAGGAATACTAAGTGTAGTTTAATAGAATATAGTTCTCATAAAGATAATTATGATTAATTAGCTCTATATTAACCTATAAGATAATTGACCTAACCCAGTATCTCAGTCTGCACATATGGTCAGACACTGAATTATAGCGGCGTATATATATTAGCTATCGAGAATAAGATTCCTTTAAACTTGAGGAAATAGGTTCGATACGGTGAAGAATGTCAAACGTTCTACCGACGTTGGGCCAGAGGATATCTGCCTGCCCTTATGGCGTTCTTAGATGTAGTCAAGGAGCTATGCGGGAGCCAGCCTTCTACTTATGTGCTCCTAAGTAATCTCTTAAGTAATAATAATAATAAAAACCCTTAGATATACAGGTAAAAATATAATTATAAAGCTAATAAAAGAGCTATGGCTTTAAGGGCCGTTAAAGCAAGCTACTATATATACCTATATCAGGCAACAAGCCCACGTTTGTCTAACTATTAGAATGCATGTCTTTGCATGATTTGCAAGCTTCCTGTGCTTACTCCCTGCCCGTTTATGTAAGGAACTTTATTTATAAGTTGCAAACTGATTAGTGAGCGAAAACCCTTTCTAGCTGGCAGGCTTTTTTTTTCTCGGTTTGTTTTGGAATTATTATTAACGATAATGATCAGAATGATTCCTCATGAGATTTGCTATTCATATCAAAACGAGAAGGGGGTCTAGACTACTGAGGTCCAATGGTTGTGGTGAAGGTCAAGAGATAAGACAAAGACTCCCCTCTCAAATTACCGCGTTGGCGGACAGATCTAGAGACCCTATTGAATAGGATTGCTCTCTCGTCACATGTCACCACCCCCTTCAAACATGCCGTCGTCGAAGCTAATCACCCGGTCCATGTCGGCATATTGTGCATCAAACAGCATCTGTGATATCATCCCTAGCTCCCCGCCGCCGCCTGAACTGCCGCTATATGGCTCTGTAGAATGGCTTATAGAGTAAGCATTGGAAGATATGTTGACCGGTGTATACTGAGATCTTGGCTCTGTAGCGCCATAAGAGGTTCGTAACTGCGGACTCGGAACGTTTGGAGGCTCATTCCGTAACCATGGATCCCCATTTGGGCCTTGAGATGGGGCCTTGAGAGATGCCCTTGAATGCTTTACCTCAGTCGTATATGCTGGAATACTGATGGCGAATGATTCATCCTGGGTGCACTGAGCATGTAGTTGAACAAGAGTCGCACAATATTTAGAAGCCAGATTCTCTCGAGAACCAACAAGTCCCGCCCATCGTTTTGACATGGCCTCTAAGCTCTGGATCAGCAACCAGAATTCGGGTGTCAGGCAATCGATCGAGCTATAACGCCAATGTAGAAGTAGCACTCTTGCAGCGATATACACGCAAAAGGCGAACTGATTATTGAGAGGGCCCATCTCGGCTAGGTTGTTGAGATAATGATCCGTGATAGTGGCAATCTCGACCGCGGCCGCCTGGCATGTATCGACGCTGCAGAGACTCGGCAATCTGGTCCGGAACGGCCAATTTAGTGGAGGAAAGGCAATGGGCTGGTGAAGTAGAATCATGGATGCGTTGTGTGTGACATGAGCCAGGGTCAAATTCGGATCCATCCTGGACGATTGCTGCGTGATGTTGACCTTCCACTTCCTCGGGAGTAGCATCTTCCAGTGCACCAAGCGGACATCAAGCTCTTTAAACCGTGTCAACCAGCTGCTGAGGTCCTTCTGATCCTTGGTGTTGACCCTCTGTTGGAGGAAATAGCTCGTAACTCTGCTTAAGGACTCCGTAGCCTCGATGCAGTAGGCAAAGGCACCCACGGTTGACATGTCCACGGCAGATACTGCTCCTGGTGATGTTCCTGCTTCAGATGGGGTGCGCCCATCATCGTCTGCACCAGCTTGCGGCGGGATTGGATGCGCGGGGAGGAACGCAATGGGGTTTCCGATGCGTCCGGCAGATTTATCCCAGATACCAAAGTAGGGTGTAGAAACGGGATCCTCCTTTCTCCAGGTTATCCCATCGCATGGAAGACGACGATTGACATCGTCTGAGGTGAGGCTAGTGTTCCAACCCGTTGTCACAGAGCAGAAACGGTCCAAGTTGAAGACACACCAAAACACTCTCCTTCGCTCTTCAGACTCGGTCCAACCTTGTGAGGAAGGCAAGGATATGTAAGGCTGTGAGAAGGAGGGTCGGTCAACTTCGTCGTCCTCGATTGTCAATTGTAGGTATTCGACAATTCGGGTCAAGGCCCCGACGAGTGACCATGCCTGGGATGCTTCACCGTTGCCGATCTAGAACAAGGTCAGTATGTCAAGTGGAATATTTGAGGAATGTGCACTTGCATCGTTGAAGCAGATAATAATAAGTGCTTGCAGGTTCTCAACCGACATGCTTTTCGTAGCTTTGGCTACAACCCAGTCCCTGAGGTCTTCTTGGTCCCCGGCGAACGTCATAGCCAAATCAGCAATAGCCTTGGTCGAGACATATCGTGATGCAACTAGAACCATTGCCTGCAAAACCAAATGCAAACTGCCTTTTCCCATATCATCTCGGATCCTTGTACGAAATCGAGCCTCATGGATCATAGGGATCCACGGATGTATGTGGGTGAAGTAGGCACTGATGACCTGTTCCAAGACGCTTTCATCGGGCAGAGGCGGGACATGGTGACCATGAACGTGCTGATGTCCAACATCACTACTGATTCGACGCCGTTTGTGAGAGATATCGCCACCTCCCGGTATCGTCGAAGATGTTGGTGATTTTTCGTTGAGCTTGCATATCTCTTGAGCAAGTGACAAGAGAATGCTGTTGCTAGTTGCAGTCTGTTCTTGATGAGAACTTCTGTCACCACTGGAGTCCGCCTCGGATTGCAGTTTACTGAGAGCTTCCTGTTGGCTAGCAAGGGACCGTTCTAATACATCTGATGATTTACGTTAGCTTAAACTAGTGAGCTTCTGCATCACCCAATACTCACCAAGCCTTCTGTGTATGTTCTCAACCGCCCCAGTCTTCATTCCAGGCTTTGCACGTTTTGACTCGTAAACACATTCATATCCTGAACGTGTTAGACATAGAAAACACCTAAGGGAGAGGTCCCTTTCGACCTACCTGTTTTGCGGCAGTGCTCGCATGCTGGAGTCTCTCTGGAGCATCGAAGCTTGCGCTTTCGGCAGCAGTTGCAGGCGAGACTCGCATCGGTGCCCACTCCGGCGGACTCGTCGGGGCGAGTGGAGGCATCTGGCACATCATTATCCATTGGAGTTCGTAAGATAAGCGGATATTCACGTGGTCCAAGGTAAGTGAATGTTTGTCATGTTGTTTCGGAAGAATGATGAAGGATAAAGGACTTGAGGCGATCCCGGGCCCATTTATCCGTCGTCCGCTTCAATTACCCCGAGGCGCCGAACCCCCGCTTTGGGACCCTGCTCTGACTGCTGATGTTCAAATGATAGATGACGACGTTGGCTTTACCCCGGGTCTTGGCAAGAGAAACAGACCAGTTAGACCTCTTTGGTGGATCTGTCTTATTCTTCAATTGAGTTAATCCCCCAGCCGTGTGACATGGCCTAGAGTCAAGTTGAGGACCATCAGCATATCGGTCAGACATAGCCCGAACCCCGAGTGATATCACCCGTGTTTCATCATTAAATCTGATGATTTCTTTGCCACTTTAAAGCAATCAACTCACGTTATCTCACCAGCCCTCTCAAGCATCCTATCGGCTTCCTCGAATTGCACTGTCATGGCCGGGCTCGCTGGCTTCACTGATAACCCCTTCCGGGATCGCTCTGACCTTGTCCGAGCAGCCATAGCCCTTATACAACCTCTTGGGGTATACAGATCTCCGGCTAGAGCCCGTGTCAAGTTGCTTCCTTCTACCGCTGCAGCCTTTGACGATGTTGCAGCCCAACTCGAGGGGTTTGCCCGCCCCCTGTGGGCTGTTCACGCTCTCGTAAGCGACGATGGAAGCAACGACATTGGAGAGGCCCACAGCTGGATCCAAGGTATCCAAGCCGGCGTGGACCCCTCCAGCTCTGAGTATTGGGGCGATGTTGGGCCTTTTGACCAGCGCATGGTTGAGATGGAATCGATTGCGTTTGCGCTGCTGACCGCCCCAGATGTCATGATGCGCCTTTGGTGCCAGGAGTCGAAACTTAACCTCACAAAATGGCTCCGACAAATCAACGACCATGCTATGCCGCGAAATAATTGGCGATGGTTTCGGATTCTAGTCAACTTGGCGCTTGTCAAAGTCCTCGGAGTACCACATGATGAGGTGAGACGTATGATGGATGAGGATTTTGCAGTGCTCGACGAATTTTACCTTGGTCAAGGCTGGTCCTCTGATGGCGTCTGGGGAGACGAGAGAAAGCAGGCAGATTACTATTCCGGAAGTTTCGCCATCCAGTTTGCGCAATTGCTTTACATTCGTTTTGCTCAAGGTGATGAAGAAAGGGTTCAGATGTATCGACAACAAGCAGTCGAATTTGCCTCACAATACTGGAGGTACTTCGATATCAACGGTATGTAGCCCTGACACTTCCATCGCCGTAAGCAAGAGTTGCAAATCTAACTTGAGACAAGGAGCCGCTATACCATTCGGCCGCAGTATGACCTACAGATTCGCATTCGGAGCTTTCTGGGCAGCCCTTGCTCTCGCCGATGTCCCGCTTATTAGTCCCATGGGTAGCCTGGGCTGCATAAAGGGCATGCTTCTGCGGCACCTACGATGGTGGTCAAAGAAGCCAGAGATTTTCAACTCTGATGGCACCATGAACATTGGATTTGCCTATCCCAATATGTATATGGCCGAGGACTACAACTCAAGACAGTCCGTGTATTGGTGTTTGAAGAGTTTTATCGTTTTAGGTTTGCCTGAAGGTCACCATTTCTGGACCTGCAAAGAGGAGCCCCATCCTATGGCAAAGTTGGGTTTGAGCAAACAGCTTCAAATTGAGCTTCCGACCACTCTTCAGGCGATCTGGCCTCCTCATCACATTCTCTGTAACTCCCATGAGCACCACTACCTCCTATCATCGGGGCAAATGACGACTAAAAAGTTCAAGGCGAGAGAAGCCAAGTACGGCAAGTTCGCCTACTCCTCCGCATTTGGATTCAGTGTACCCTCAGGCCCAGAACTACACCAATTGGCGTCAGACAGTACGCTTTCCATTAGCTTGGATGATGGAGAGACGTGGAAAGTTCGGTGGCAGCCATTCGATGTCAGACTTCAAACTGCTTCCGTTCGCTCCAATGGAGACTTACACAAGGTTCCTGCAATATCCAGTGTCTGGAAGCCTTTCAAACACCTCGGCGTGGAGATCGAGACGATTCTCATCCCGTTGACTCCACACTTCCCGGGGTGGCATATTCGGTTGCACAAATTAACGGACCTTGATTGCTTGAGCACTGTTACTTGTTCAGACGGAATCCAACTGGTTGATGCTTCTTTCGCAATATCTGCCCTCTCTGCCACTGGCTACCATGTGCCTAAACATGCCTCTGGCGACATGACGAATGGCTGCTTTTCCGACTCATCGAGCATTTTGATAACGTCCCATGCTGGATCCAGCGGTGCTGTGCACATCAAACCCGATGTAGCTGCCACTGGCTCTACGGTGGAAACCAAGCAAACAGGTAAATCGTTGCTGATCGAAGCCGACCCGAACACCAACTTGATCACTCAGAGGACTTTCATTCCTTCCGTTAGATATAATGTCAGGTCTGCTATTCTGAATGGGCCGGAAACAGCGACAGAATCAATAATCTTCGCAACTGGCGTGTTTGGGGTATCAAGTCATAACGTGGATCGCGGCGAGATGGAGAAGATGTGGGAGAAGCGGCCTACTGTTCAACTCAACTTAGGCACTGCAAATGAGAACACTATCCAGATTTCATAGTTTAGGCTTCATGTTGGCATGATGAATTGTAATTAAGTGTTTGCAAACTAGGCTGAGTGTAGTCCGCCGATAGCCTTTGTGCATAATTTTACTTATACGTAACCTCATAGGGAGCATCTAAATGGGCCATTGCATGTATTTTGGAGCAAAAGTTTGACACATGTAGTGCCACGCCACCGGGAGTGAACTGGTCTTGGGCTTGGCTATCGACGGACTCACAACGACAGCTTCGTCCTCTAGGGGCTTGCTAAGCTTACATCGACCCGAGACATCTCCATCTTGCGTCGAAGTTCCAGTAAAAAGATATCTCTGGGGTAAGCCTTGATCTAGAGGACAGACCAAGAGGTCCCAAGGGGTTAACTGAGCCCGAAGATCGATGCGCCCATTCAAGACCCCTCTGAGCCGTTACGAGGCTCGTCTGGTTAGATTCTCACCGCAGAATGTAAACACGATTTATCTCGCCGCCTTCGGAGCGCCTATTAAAATTGTATGGGTTACTCTTCATCTCTCTGTGTCTGCCGAGAAGGCCCGATTTGGAAAGGAGGATGGTGCAAGCATTCACATCGAGAACTTTCTGGCTGGACGGACATTCGAGGCCATCCTGGAACATCACATGTATAAACGCGCATTGTTCTAGTTGCAACCACTGATCCGTTGCTGAACCTTCGTAAAGACGTCCTCCCTCCAGCCCAGGAAACCGATATGAGCGGCAGCTGGTCCAACAACCGGTTGCACAACAACTGTAACAAGAGAAGCCACCACTGCCTGCTTAGTGGTGACATACCCCAAGCTCCGCAGATGAAGAACTCGAAAGAAGTTATGGGCGAGGACGGAAGCGGCGTTCAAGACCATGTCTCTCTGGAAGAAAAGAAGAACATCATCTTTTGGAGTGGATGCATGACTCCCAGAGAGCAGGAAGGCGGGATTCCCAAATACAGCAGAGACGCTGAGATCGGAGCTTGAAAGAATGCGATACACCGCCCAGAGATGGACAAGAGCTGTTGCTGCCACTCCGCCTGCGTAAACTAGTTTGAGAGTTGACTGTGTGGCCTTGTCTTGCTTGCTCGGTTTCTCACTGGCTTGGCTCTGTTTCATCTTGAGAGCGCTCACTGTCGCCGTGGCTTTCTGCCTGTGGAAGACAGTCGAAAGCCCAGCAACAAGGGCACCAACATAAATGGGAAACGGCTGCCACAAGGCGACAAACTTCTGCCAGGTATCCTTGTTCTCGAATGGCCACAACATGAGGGCAGTCGGGAGGATGTAACCAAAGCCTAGGCCAGGAATCACAGCATCAACGACTTCCTTGGTAACTGGATGACCAATGGCTGTGCCCGAGGACCCCTTGAAAGCGTGCTCGAGTACCGAGATCAAATGATATAGTGGCGAGATCCGACCAACGCCTAGTAACTGGTACACGGTTCCAAATAGAGTTGGCCTGTTTGATACCGAGGTTAGCTGGTTGTTCATCGTCATTTGTACAGGCCTGGTGGCACAAGTAGGCAGTTCTCAGGCCTCATGAATACTTTGATTTGTGACTTACAGGGAGGTTAGGAGCCCTTTGGCGCCTGCTCGATAAGCTTCCATGGTCCAGTCGAGGGTGGTTGACAACAGTAGGGGGTGAAAGACACCCATTGGACCAGTCCGGCCTTGCTGTGTCCTGCGAGAGGAACACCAAATACAGAGACGAGAACAGTCAGAATCTTGTCCACCGATCCTATGCCAGTGTAGTGATCCCTTAGGGAGGCGCCCTCAAATGTGGTAGGAACTTGCAAGGGCAGCAATAGTTTGTTGGATAGTCGATACAATATCCCCTGCGTCATAGCTCCAAGGCCAGTTAGAAGCCAGGTAGGGCGTAGCGGCTTTTCGGGAAGCTCATCGTCATACGGGACCGCGTGTTCTCGCTTCACGACTGGAAGACCATCCAGTCGGCTGGCACCGACATACTTTTGCGCTGAGATGTGAAAAGCGGCGCCGCCATTGATGAAGAGGGGTAGTATCCGCGCTACTACCCTCCACAAAGGCGTCGCCAAAGCATGCCTCTGCTGGCACTTGTGAGCATCTGCGACAAGCCATGACGCGCGATCACGACGGTCATTTTGCGCAGCGCTAAAGGCAGCGTCTATCTCCGAGTCGCTCCAGTTCAGATTCCTCTTAGAAAGCAAATGATTAACCAGAGCAGCAGCTGTTTCAATGGCAGCATTGCCTCCGTGTCCAGTCAACAGATGGAACTTCACAGCGACGATGGTTAGAACAACACAACGTGGGCTTTGGAATTGGACGTCCTACCTTGTGGGCCGCGTCGCCAATCGTCATAATGCGGCCAAAGTGCCACTTCTGGAACACATGCTCGTGGAGTGGGGTCAGTGTAGAGCTTGTCCTAGCTTCATAGATGTGGCCAAACCGAACAGTCGTCGTGACTTGATCAAGTGCGTGCGCTTGGGCGAGCCGAGCTTCATCATCTTTGGTGTATCTCGGGATATCATTGCCGTAGAGCGGAATAGGCAGCTTGACAAAGAGGAACCAGTAGACCCTCCCGCCAGGCCCCGTGAGGACTAGATAGGAAAAGCTGTGATTGTGCACATAGTGTATCCCTCCTAAGAGTGCTTCAACAGGACGTGAGATGCCAAAAATGCATCGATAATAGCAGGGTACCGCTGGATGAAAGAATCGTCAGAAAGCTATTACAATCGCGGTGATATCAGGTGAGGGACCAATAAACTTACTCGACCATTCATCCACAGGAAAATAACCAGGAGACACCTCATTGCCAATGCGCCACATCTCTTCCCGCACAGTGCTATGGATTCCATCGGCACCAACGAGGACGTCGCCCCGGTAGACTTCACCTTTACTTGTTGTAACCTCGACACCATGGTCGAGTAACTTGACTGACGCAGCTCTCTGGCCAGATAGAACCGAGGCTTTTCGTTTCAAGTTGTTGTGTAGAATCTCCAAGAACATCTGTCTGTCGATGAAGCTGGTATGGTGGCCATATCTAAAGAACTTACTGTCAGCGAAATACTCGTGCCAGGGCAGGCAGTCAGACCTTTCCAATTCACCCTCACGAATCCCACTATAGTGCTCGATCAGTGACCCATCCGGATTTCGAAGGTATGAATCTCGTATAGGCCTGTCAATCAAAGACATGACTTGATCTGCACATCCCAACTGGTCAAGAATTCTCAGCCCATTAGGCAAAAGGCCGATACTCGCTCCAACTTGTGGTGCAATCTCATCGTATGCTTCCAACACAATGTAGTGTACGCCAGACTTCTCGAGCATATTGGCGAGGGTGAGGCCGGCGACACTGCCGCCCACGATAAGGACGGTCTGCTGGGGTTTGTTCATGGTAGCGTGTAATAGCGATGGGTGAAGGGCCAATTTGGATAAAAGTGTGTGTGAGTTGAATACTTCAGAGGCGGGAAATGGCCCCCTTTTGTAATGTGCGCTACATCAATTTGATCCTCCTTGATTCAAGTTGTTCTCAAAGCTTGACCCTGATTGAAGTCTCGATCACGGACTCGGGGTATTCGCACAATCCGGGCTCTGCCATGACCTCAGATTAGCTTTCCTATATGGAAAGAATGCCGCATCAATACAAAAATGTACCGTGTAGCAAAACAGACCTGCAGCAAGCCCCACTACCAAGATCCAGATTTCTCGGGAATGATGAAACTCCGAGAAGCCCAAATCATCTCTACCACTGACCAAGCGGTCTTGCTTCTCGGAAATAACACTACGTGTGACCTATAAGGACTGGGTAGCTATACTGAGAGACGTTTCAACATTTCACGTGCCGCGACATGCGGGCTCGTGCGCATCGGACAGATCATCTCGGGGTTCACAAGAGGAACATGATGCCCGTCCTAATCCCTATCTCAGATCTAGCCCCTCCGTTGTCAGACTTCCCAGCACGCCTTGTCCAATGCCTCGATATCTGACATGGCTGGAGATTCAACCAGCTAGATCTCCAAGGTAGCTATTAGCTTGCAGCGATACAATCTCTATGTCAGTAATATGGAGCGTATTCGGAAAACCATGTCGTTCACCTACAATACTACATTTGCCTCGTTTTAAGTTAGTATCCTATTATGTCCTGTTCTGTCAGTGACTGGTCGCCCATGTTCCGTCGGTTGAGCTACTTGAGTTCCAGCGCAATCGGTCTCTGCTTTGTACCCGCCTATAGAAGCTATGAACTCTTCTTTGATCTACTAGTATGAAGATCCCGGTATCAAAAGTTGCATTTGTGTACTTAGGGGCGTGGTTCTCCTTGTCTATCGGTACAAAACGGGACCTGGGAATCCCCTCACAAGGTGCTGTAGCTTCAAGGTTAGCGGAACTTTTATCATAGAGAATCAACTACCGCGCACTTGAGCCATTTTGACTGGGTTCAGACCACGCAAAACGCACCTCATGCATTGCAGAAGGGAGAGTACCAAGGATGCTTCTAGTCCGAGTGCATTGAGTCGATACGGAGTCTGATGCAAAACGTGGGACGGCCCGTCCCTCCATTGACCGCCAGCTGATTTCGTGTTTAGTCACGTATGGAATCCCCCTTTTGGTTTCAATCTGATTCAGGGGGCAGGGCAGGTATCACGAGCAAGACCCTGGCCTATGCATTTACCCCCAGTCCCATGCCAGTTGCAATTCGACGATCAAATGGTTAGACCAAGGATGATCTGAGGAGGGATCAGCAATATAGAGAGTTTCTTAGTGCGGAGCCTGATGAAAATTCCCGCAAACATGCTAATGTGACCTCGGGATAACACATCGCCCATTTGTCCGAATGATGGCTGGCTTGAGTATCGGGTGAATACGCACAGCAAGGTAAGAGCTTCCGGGATAATGCTTGAATAGTCCCAGTCTTGCTAGAGATCCCACCTCTCAGCATCTGCCGAACTTCTCCACCTGGCCTTCGGCATGGATGTGACCGGCATTTCTCTGCGGAGTTATTGCCGCCGACAACATTCCAACACTTTTCATTCGTCGCTCATTTTCCGGCTCCTTCGCATCTACTTATTGTTATCGACGTCGGCGGAGATCTGACGGGCCTTATGGTCCCGGCCCATAGATACGCTTCGTTACGGGGCATCATTCCAAGCCCCCGGCAATAATTCAGGGTTGAATGATAGCCAGATGCCATCGGCTCAGGTTGAAGCATCAGCATGACCAATACTCAATCGAAATCAAGCTATCCTATTTGTCGATCGGCTCCTGATCACTCCTGATCACTCCTGGTAACTTTCTCTTCCGTCTCACTATTTGTAAAGTTGGTCTCCGCTACAACTGCCTTTGCAGCAGTAAGACGTCTATGGGGAGTGGTGGAACTATCGTACTACGTGTTAGGAGTTAACTTGGATGAGTCTATGGCTGGAATCATCAAGTTTAGTTAGGATCCCGTGATCCGACGGTTGTCCGCCGCCTATGACTGTTGATTAGCTAGACTAGTGAGATTATGGTGTAAAAATTACCTTCGGGAAAGAGATTTGAGTCATGGCAGTTGATAGGCCATGCCTTGAATCTCGGCATCTTGGGCTAATGATACCTTTTTCTTGAGTTTGGTGTTGCTTAGTGTGCATACTGGTCTATGAGATAAATTCAGTCTCAAGCGTCTTGTTGGCACGCCAAGGCATCAACGGCCTGACTTTGAGTTGAATTTGACCGCCATTTTGGCCTGTTGTGACATGATTCCTCGACAAGTAGGAGGAGCCGAGGTCATTGGGTAGGTAGTGGTCGTTTGATGAGAACCACCCCAACGCAAGGTTAAGAGGATGTATTACAAGGCTCGTGTAAATGAGAAAATTGTCTCGTGTTTTCCAGACGATTCTGTCAAGATTGGACCATCATTTATCCTATCCTCTTGGACCGAGGTGTCTTGCGCACACGCACAACGCGCCCTTAGCTTACACTTCTCCAACCTTCATCAACACAATTACTACATTCAACAGATTCTTCTGCCCGAAACCTCGCTGTGTCGTCTCGTTCCAGGGTATGGTGGTTGTGCTCCACGGGAACCTGCACGCAAGTCCAATCAGGGGAGCACCTGATGATAAACAACCTGAGCCAGTCTAGCCATGCTTCGTCAGTACGGTGGAACCCTCCGAGGCTCCTACCTTCTCAGAGTGGCTGTCAGGCTGTCATCAAAAGCCGTTCACTACTGCGAGGCCGGCTCACTCAAGGACGTAACGTTAGCTAGTGTGTGGCTAGGGTACAGTTTTCAGGGGGATTGACTGTTAAACAGGGTAAGATTGCGGGGGTGGCTGATCCCGCTTGATCAACTCTCAAAGCAGGCCAATCACGGGTGAGATGGAGTCATCTAGCAGCATGTTCGGAGTCAGTTCCGTGTGAACAATTCCGATTTCTCGGATTTGATCTGGAATTACCGGGCCTTGTAGTTCTATAGATGCTCCCGAGATCTCCGCTCTGGTGGAAACGTCACAAAAACATCGCCACATGATCTCCAACCTCTGAAGCCATGACCACCCTTCGCTCTAATACAATTGAACAGCTTCGCTCGGCTCTAGCACATGTCACGATCAGCTATGCTGTTCTCTTTGGCATCTCCGTCTTATTGCTCCACCTCGTCAGTAACAAGTATCTGACTCAACTTCGCCGTGTACCAGGCCCCTTCCTCGCAGGCGCCACCAGACTCTGGAAACTCAACTTCGTCGCCCACGGTCAACTGGAAAAGGTACAGATGCGATTGCACGCTCGATACGGACCAGTTGTGCGAATCAGTCCCAACGAGGTGCTGATATCCGATCCTTCTGCTATCAAAACTATCTATGGTCACTCCTCAAACTTCCGCAAGACCAAGTTCTACATCCCGTTCGGCACCAAGGATAACGATGATCTGTTTACCGACCCGGATGTTATACGTCATGCTCACCACCGCCGGGAGATTGCTTCTGCATACAGCATGACTTCTCTCGTCGAGTTGGAGCCCATGGTGGATAAGTGTGTGGAAACCATGTGCGATCAGATTCGGGGCCTGGCTGGCCAGCGCAAGCCTCTTGATATTGCAAAGTGGCTGCAGTTCTACGCCTTTGATGTCAGTGAACAAATAACAATGAGCAGTGCTTCATCTAACTTCAACTCTAGGTCATTGGGCAAATCACCTTTTCGAGGCCTTTCGGGTTCATGCAAGAGGGCAAAGATGTCCAAGGCTGCATCTCGAAACTCGAACGCTATCTCATCCATGGTGCACTCTTTACAGTCATGCCCGAGTTCTGGCCGCTCTACTACCTTGCTAACACGCTGCTGTCAAAAATCGGCCTTGCTTACCCTCCAGGGATAGGCATCTTCAACGAGTTTGTGGGCAGTCAAATTCAGGACCGATTGGAGCGTGGCGCCCAAGGCCAGATTGACTTCGTCTCCAGGTTGCAAAAGATGGGACGTGACGAATCCACCATCTGGCGCAGCTGCTTTGCCAACGTCGCTGCTGGAAGTGATACGACTGCCATCAGTCTGCGGGCCATTATTTACTTCCTTCTCAAGAGTCCGCGGGCATATCATCGTCTTCAAGATGAGATCGACACGTTCAGCGCCGAGGGGAAAGTCAGCAATCCGGTGACGTTTGGCGAAGCCTGTAAAATGCCATATCTTCAGGCAGTAGGCTTCTTCCATATTATTGCATGAATATTTTCATTGCTAATGTCTCGTAGGCTATGAAGGAGGCCATGAGGCTGCACCCATCAGTCCAATGGAGTCTCCCTCGCTACGTTCCAGATTCGGGCCTCCAAATCGGCTCGTTCGATATCCCAGCGGGGACCGAGGTCGGCATAAATCCATACGTAATTCACCGGAACATGTCGATCTTCGGAGACGATGTTGAGGTCTTCAGACCAGAGCGGTGGTTGGAGGATGAAGAGAGAACCAAGGAGATGGATAGGTACATGGTCCAATTCGGCACTGGGTCACGCGTGTGTCTGGGAAAGAATATCTCGTTGATGGAGATGTCAAAGCTGCTCCCCGAGCTTTTGAGGCATTTTGACTTTGAGCTTGTTCATCCCGAGGAACCATGGACGGTATCGAACTTTTGGTTCGCGAAACAGGACGATATGGACTGTTTTGTGACAGCAAGAAAGTCAAATACGGTTTAGTAGTTGCCCCATGAAAAGATTTAGGCACCAAGCCTGCCCTGGTGTGCACCCGATAGTGACGTTAGAACCAGCCATGCGGACGCCAGCCAATATCTTAAATTAGCAATCTGGATCAAAGTCGCTATCTTCTTCGTCATCTTCCTCAGGTCCCGAGCCGAATACCAATCGAGCAAGTTCTTCCCGTGGCGCTTCGAATTCACGACCGCAGAGCTTGAGCATCTGATCTATGGCAACGTAACCAGTCCCCTTGTCGAAGTCAGCCAACACGTCAAACCCGCCACCCGCCCATTCCAAAACTGTGTCGTTCCCGCCATTCACGCCATCGGCCAGAGCTAATATGTGGCCTACCAGCAAAGGCAGCTGCCATTCATGTTGCATGTATGCTGGCCCAAAGCTAGCTCGGAGAAGCGGATCATATTTCGATTTCAGAACCGACAGGAACGCCCAGTTAGTTGCATGCATGAGCATGTATGGGAAGGCAAGCTCATGGACTTCAAGCTCCATTGCCTCACCAAGACATGCCAACAACTTAGTCAGTGGGATACGAGCAGCCTTTGCAGCCCCTGGTTTCATGCTCTTGGCCGAGGCTCCGATTTCTGAACGCGAGAGAATTTCCTCAATGCTTTCTGGGGACCAGTTCATCCGGCTCATATTCCTCTGGTATCGATCCCGAAGACTGCTGTGGATTGGAGCACGTGGTTTGAGGAACCTCGTCCCTGCTCGAGAGAAATCATCGATGTCCAACTTCTTGGAACGGCGTCTCCGGTTTGTAAAGACAGACGCAGAAACGCCAATCTGCAGCATGAATCGCGTAACATAGTCGGCAGTGTTGTCAGGCCTCCCCCCAACAAAGAATTGCTCTTCGCCAAGGATATCAAAAAGAAGCTCCATGTCAGGCCAGAAACAATCCGAATAGCCCTCCTTTGAAGCGGCGTTGTACAAATGTGCTGGCAGAATAATTGAGCCCCAGGCATTGGTAACTGCAAGGCTGACCTCATACACTTCAGCCCGGTAATGATACAGAGCCAGCCCAGCGAGGATTGGAGATCTTCTTAAAAGCCGATGCTTCTCAGTTGCCTCGACTAGTTCTTGTGCCTTTAGATCACGACCCGCAAGAAGTGTCTTGACTTCGTGCAAGGGGTCTTTTAGGAACTGTTCGATACTCTCCGCGGTCTCCTGCAACCATTTCTCATCGGAGGGTGACCAATGGGGGCTTTTGAGATTCCTGTGACGCCTGATAGTGGCCTGTAAAGGACCATTCATGGTAGACAATCGTTGGAGAAGGGTCGGGACCGAGGACTCAGCATAGCCTCTAACGGCATGATGTATATCAAGGTTGACCTGGGTCGCAAAGACGAGACTGAAAGGGATCTCGTTGGTCTCCTTGAATTGTTGGACGCCCCGAATGAACTCATCCGAAATAGGGTAGCCAGAGACATGATGAACAAGCGCCAAGGCTTCCATGAAAAGCTCGCCAATGATGATGACGTCTTCTTCAAACTTTTGGGTCCCGGTCTTGGACTCCCAGTCGCTCTCGGGATCGTAGATCCCAAAATGTCCTTCCGGATAGAGACCGGCACCCCCCTGCCAAGGAACGAGAGCAAAAGTTTGGAGGATACTGCCGACATAAAAGTAGCAGTAATTGCCGAGATCGTAATGATCATCCTGGCTCGATGGCTCACCCATCCGCGTACCAAATTCTTCGGGGCTTTCGCCTTGTTGGTCTAGAATGCGGGCCATGTATCGTTGACAGAGGGCGAAGGAACCGCCATATTCCTTGAAGATCGGCACCATGTCCTCGATGATATTCGCCGCGAACTCGATGCCCGTATTGGTCACCACGGCCATAACGGCTGGGTCCTGGTCGTTTAATTCGTCGTCCGATTCGTCATCCTGGCTAACAAACGATGACCAAATACCGGAAATGAAGTCCCGAATCTCCGCTAGGTCTTTGCACATCATGGAGAAGGCAATAATGGCTTCTTCAAGTGTTGGTGATGGATCAGCCTCGTAGATAATTGCTTCTTGCCCAGCTGCCTGGGGTCTTGCAATGTCTGGTGCATCGAGGAAGTCTTGAGATGGTTCATAAACCTCAAGGGCATCGAACTGATTAGTCAGAGTGCTCACTTCATCGGATGAACTGGAAGCAGTCGGAGGCTTGAAAGGTTTCAGCACCTCGCGGACCTTTTCAAGAATGCCCACAAAGTATGAATGTTTAGCATCTGACTCGATGTCTGGCTTTGCTCCGTGGCGAGATAGCTCTGCGCTGAAGCTAGACCTCACAGAGATGACTCGGTGAAGGGTGTCGAAGAATACCTCTGGAACCGAAAGAGCCGGGATTTTGGAAGCAGATATGTATTCAGCCAGAGAGATGAAGTCCTTGATGGAAATGATGTATCGAGGTACTGGAGTTGTTTCTGGTGTCGTCTTAGCTGTGCCATTGCCCTTGTTCTTCTTAGCAGCGATTCGTGCTTTCCCCTTAAGTCGTCCTGTCTTGACGGGTTGTTGTTGCTGTTGTGGACAAGCCGTGTTCCGCAGTAGATCAGGAGGATATCCGCATTCCTTGGCTGTTGAAGCCAGCCACGATGCAATCTAGTTGGTATCCTTCTTGTACTCTCGGTACACGCTGACTAAAGCTTGGGGCAACATCGTAGTTAAAGCCGAACGTGCTACGATGGTCAAGTGCTTGGTGGGTGTGTGGAGACGGGATCGTGAGGGGTTGATGAATCTAAGAATCTTCCTTTATCTTACTATCTACCCGAAGCTTCTCCGAAGGGCTATAGATTTTCCGACCGCCGGCTGCCTACCCACAAGGCCCAGGGCTCTTTCAATGAAACAAGAGAGGAGATGGAGCGGTTCTTTCATTCACTACAGTCTACAAAGTGTTGTCAACCCTACACTGCCTCCAGGATATCACAGCCATGATTGCTCTAGCATTCACCACCTTCTCGACGCACCGGCGACTAAACACCACCGATGTCTAGAAGCCAAGTGAGCTCGCTGTTTTTGCCAAGGGCGCATCCCTTGATCCTATGCTTGGGACGCTACATTCAAAACAGGAGGTTGGCAAAAAGGCAAAGTCGACGGACGTCGATCTGCTTGAGGTGTCTAAGGAAGCTGAGACAAACGCCTGAGATAAGCTCCTGCACACTGGCCAAGGTATACCGGGAGATGAAAGACAGTATCAGGTGGATGTTGCAAGCGCTCTGGAAAGGAAGGCCCCGGGTGTTGACAAGCCGAGGAAACGATGCAGCTTCTGGATTGCGTTCATAGACATGCTATCTAGGATGTTGCCACGGAGCGATATTAGCAATAGATGAAGGGATAGGTGATGGGTTTAGGCTCAAGGTGTTGAGCGTGTTGCTGAGAATTGGACAAACCTGTAAGCGAGAAGAACAGGTATTCAGACCAGTTGGGGGAACGAATCTCGAAAGGTGAAGTATGGGGAGGCAAAATCAGCACTGTTGATCCGTCTAGGTGATTCCCTAGCTGATGTGGTGCGTGGTTTCGTCCCGATAAGGTTATTGCAAAGATCCATCGGGTAGTGTTGATGCCGAGATTTAATAGTGCCCGATTGAATTGTAGCATCGGTCACAAGTGACAGTGTTTTCCGACTGGCTTCTTAGAAATCTGAGAAGGATGCTGTCGGTAGGTATCATACAAGGGCAAGCGATGGACACCAGGACACCCCAAGATGGCGATTTGGATGCCCGGGATCAAACACCTAGACCACCCAATAAATGATAGACTAGAATTAGAGACTTACAATGTGGTGATAAGCCTCCGTGAGGGGAACAACTCTCACAGACTCGGACTGCAAACCCAGACGTAGCTTGAAACCCAGCCAAGTCGTATCATTGGGCACCTGGCTAGCCTCTGACTGCGCAGCAGCACACCATTCAGACCTGGGGAACAAAAGCAACAAAACTTTTTACAGACAAGTTCTCGGCTAGAACCGACTGCAGAGAAGTTTCTGTCGGTTAGTTTGGGCCGTGCCAAGACCCATGAGTGGTCCGTCCACCCAGGATCGTCAAAGTTCCGGAAACAACCTGTTACTCAAACCCAGTTCGAAACGGTCAGCGTCTCGTCAGCATTCAGTCGCGATTGGTCGCGCAGAGTAACGTTTCGTTTGACTTCAGCCCTCACAGCTTCCGTAGCCAATGTCGATAACCTCATCCATTGTGGCGAAGCACGAATGCACCCTCACACATGAGGGGAGGGCCATTCGACGGTGGAGGAACGCTGCCTCATGGGGTTAGATTGTGAGGCTGGGGAGCTTGGCGATAGCTTCAGGTGTCTCGGTGCGGTGAGCTCGTGTCTAAAGAGGTTATGGTTGCGATGTCGATGGACTATAAATCATGGGCTGGTTCTCGGTGAATTATCCAGATCATCATCATCAACCTTGGTTCTTTTTTCAGTCTTTTACCAAGTTACTCTCTTCTTCCCTGCCGGACAGGTCTTCATTTACCAATCTTTTGAGATTGCTTCTTTACAAACTTTAACACCATTGACAATTAAAATCAACATGCCTTCCATCAAGACCGCCATCACCTGGACCCTCCTCGCCCTGGCTGAGCTCACCGCCGGCCACAGTGTCATCACCAACGCGGTTGGTGACTCTGGCGGCTCGGGTATGGCCCTAGGCGTCGACAACACTACGCCCCGTGACGGCACGCGCCGTCGACCCTTCCAGCAGGATGCCACCCGCTTCCGTGGTGACTCGGCCGAGACTGTCGGCGAGACCCTTGGCGGGGGTGACAACGATGTCGAGGCTGGTACATCAGCCATCCTAGCTGAGACTAATGATGATCTCCCCCAGGTCACGCAGGGCGGCGAGCTCACCATGACACTTCATCAGGTCAACAGCGACGGTGCTGGGCCCTATACTTGTATGATCAACGATGACGGCACTGGCCAGAGCTGGACCGACATTACCGTCACGCAGAACGTTGAGGGCAACGAGCGTGGCCGTAACCGTGATGGCGAGGCTTCTGACTTTCCCCTCGTCGCGTCTATCCCCGCTGATCAGGGATGCACTGGCACTGTTGCCGGCCAGAACAATGTTTGCCTTGTCCGCTGCCAGAACCCTGCTCGCGCCGGTCCTTTTGGCGGTGTTGTCCCTGTTCAGATGGCAGGCGGCAACGCTGGGGGTGCGAACAACGCCACTGATGATGCCGTCAACAATGATGCTGATGCCAACAACGCTGGAGGTGCCAACAACGCTGGAGGTGCCAACAACAACGGTGCTGCCGTTAATGATGACGCCTCACCCAACAACGCTGCGGCTAACGGTAACGCTGCAGCCAGCAGCGGTGCTTCAGCCAACAATGATGATGAAGAGGATGAGGATGAGGATGAGGATGAGGAAGAAGAGGACGAAGACGACAGTTCCTCCAACAACAACAGAGCCAGGGCTGTTCGATTTTCTGCCTAGTAAAATATATCTGAGATATCTTGCTTGGTGTTGAAATCAGGGAAACGGTGGTGCTTTCAGATGACCGCGATGGTGGATAGAGGCTTGGACCATGATGGATCGTTTGATTGTATAATTACGCTCTTTTGATGGCTTTTGTGATGAAGGAGCAGATTGGACGGCATGGACTTTCGAGAATCAAAGTTGATAACCACGGATCATGTGTGACCCAAATTGAACCTTGTGAATATCGGCGACTACAATACTCATCTCATTCTGCCCAGAATGTGTATGGCGTATTTACTCTGACCAGTCATTACTATAGGTAGTTAGCCCTATCCCTGTATCACGCTATCACGGCGGCAATCACTGCTCCGCCACTAGTCAATATCTCCCAGTCATTACTAAACTATGGCACAACTGCGGGGACGAGCATTCTTGGCTCACTCACAACGAAATTCGTCATCACATCCCGCTGATGCGATGCACAGTCTTCTGAATTGAGGATAAGCTATACGCGCTCACTCGAGCATTCAGAGATACTTGGTACATAGGCCTGAGGTGTTACCTAGGGGTGATCATCTCTGCATCCTCGGCGATCCTACAATGGACACCGATAACACACGAGCAAGAGTTGCAATGGCCTGCGAGGTCTGTCGCAAGCGTAAGCGGAAGGTGAGAACCCCACATCTTTATCCATATTTGCGAGACCTGTGAACTGAGTTGCCACACGTAGTGCGATGGAGCAATGCCCAAGTGTTCATGGTGTTTGGTGAAAGACACGGACTGCAATTATGCCGTGGATAAGCCAAAGAAGTATGCCACATGATGAATCCCCACATCCCTCCCGTCTCCGCATCTCTGGGCGATTAAACACCCAGAGGCTCCAAGAACGTTAACTGACTGGGGGACCTAACCAGGAGGAAGCCTGACCCAGACTACATTGCAACGCTGGAGGCCCAGGCAGAAGCTCTGAAGGCGGAAGTCCGCCGGCTGGGAGCCCTCGTTACCGATTCAACGATACCGAAACATATTTGCGATATTTTGGAGGAAACGCATGATACCGGGAATGCCGCAACCCATCTAGACACTGACACCCAACAGATATCGGAGGAAATGGATTACACCGGGGACTCGCCGGCAATCCATGATATTAGCAAACTTACCTGGCGGCTGAGGATCGATGAGAGCGGCGAGACCACCTTCATCGGACCCTCGGGCAACTTCTGCTTCCCAGTCTCACATCCTCCTCGGGAGGAAATGAAGCGAACGACAGACACCGGCGATGATCACATACAGGAGCCAGCAACATTGAGGTTGGATCCCAACACATCTAGGGTCGCCAGGCACCTTGCTTCTCTCTTCATTACATTTGTGAATCCCGTCCACCAATTCGTCGACATGAGCAGGCTTGGGAGCCTCGAAGCCAATCCATACTTCAACGCCGTGGATATCCTCACTTGCGCGATTCTGGCAGCCGGCGCACTCTTCTCGGACGACTCGGAAAGCAAAGCCCTCGGTGACAAAATGGCCCACCACGCGGAGTCTGCGATTCTCCAGATTTGTCGCGAGAGGCCATGTGTAGAGACAGTGCAGGCCTTGTCAATTCTCTGCTGGCGAGAATTAGGACTGGATAACGAGAATATGGCCTGGATGTATAACTGTAAGTGTCCTCGACCATGCCTGAAGCTGCGACAATCCCTAACAATATCCCTGAAGCAATGGCTGCTAGTTTGGCACTACACCTTGGGCTTACGGTCAGCTCACTAGAAAACCTGGACAAAAACGGCACTCGCGAGACAGCTGGGGTGAGATCTCCGAGTGCGCAGCCTTCGCGCATACGAGCGCTCTGGAGTACGCTGCTTCTAGACAGGTGAGAAATATCCAATTCATGTCACGCCACGCGCTGGACTTGGGCTGACAATGATAAAGAATTGCTACATCAATGATGGGCCGAAATTGCATCATACCGTGGAGACGAGTTGAGGCATCGACGTTCGCCACTGCGACTCTAGATCCCTCGCAAGATGAGATAGTCTTTGACCATCACTGTAGGTTATGGTTCATACACGACCAGTACATGGATAGAATGTATGTCCAACCGGAAACCTGTTTTCCTGTCCTGTTTACGACCCCCAGCTAAACCTCGCCCACAGTTACGCCTTTGGGTTCAACAAACTTGACGAGCCTCAACGCTTCAATCTGCTTCTCGAGGCACGCGAGCAGTTGCTGTCATTCTACCGTCAACTGGACCCCCGCATTCAACTTCAGAAAGACACTAGTTCCCCCCAGGTCATCTTCCTGCACATGTCGTACAACATGTCTCAGCTCTTGATTCACCGGCCATACGTCAAGGAGCCAGTCGACGGCGCAGCCCATCGGTTGTCACTGAGGACCATGTCCATCGCGGCAGCCGCCATGGTTCGCCTTCTGCGTAGGTACGAGAAGATGGGCTCCTACGACAAGGTACCGCCCTTTGTTGTCCACAACGTGCTCTCAGCGGCTGTCACACTTTTGTTGATGGCTACCGCCAAGCAATCAAGCCTGCGGAGCCGATCAATCAGCCGTTTCCGTGTCTGTGTCAGCGCCCTCGAGGCCATCGGATGCAGATGGTCAAAGGCGAGACAGGCCATCCTCATTCTGCGTCAGCTGGCCCAGCGCTGGCGCGTATCCATCGCGCTGCCCATGCACCAAAGCTTCCCTCTCGCACCACAACCAGGCCCGGAGCCTCTTGTGATGACTGCTGAAGATGAGCCGACAGATACCACGTACACATACACAAGCCTTGAAAACGATACAAGTTCGGCGGCGGAACCGCTAACGGCCGAGCAGTGGGATGCTATGGAGGCCGCATCGGCTTGGCAGACGATTGATCATGTGGATTTCATTGACTATGGTCAAATGGGCCTCTGGACTTTACAATATGCCAGAAGCTAAAGTGCAGTTAATGAAGAAAGGGCCGGGCAATCCATTTGACACTTCTTTGAACGGCAGTGAAGGTTCTCGTCCACTTTCAGGCATTGGATGATAGTAAATGAAACGAATATCCTAGAACAAAGGAAAACTTATGGATCTTTGAAGCCGTGAAATCGTACATAACACGACCAGATGTGAACTGCAGGTTCTAGCAAGATAGTGGGATTTTATTACCCTAGACGCTAGCTATCTACCATGTCGAAATACATCTTAGTAAACATCGTGGGGGTTGCATCTCATATCTTGACAGAAGCTCGGATTTGCTTCCCAAAAATATACAGCGGGATTGTTGTCAGAATGGTGCCAGACGTAAGTGCGCCCCATGTGAAGAAGAAAGCCTTCGCACCATGCTCAGCGTAGTAATCATTCAACATAAAAGTGAGACCAAAAGCAAAGGCACTCTTGACAAGCTAAGTAGGGACCTGATTAGTTGCGGGTATGCAAAAAAGAGTTTGAGGAGAAAGTACTCACCATGGTCACGCCAAAGGCATCCGCAGCCCTATGCTGGCAAACATCGTTTGAGTACGCAACAATGCCAGTACAGCCTACGCCAACACCAAAGTTCAGGAACCCCAGAAAGACGGCACAGACCCAGATAGATAAACCACCTGCAATAGCCATGCCCAGGCCGAATGAGCCAATGATAATGGTGATCAGGGTAGGTACGAACACTACCAGCCGGAACTCAGGCTCGTAGACACCGTCATTTCGTTTGACCATAAGCTGCGCCACCCAATCGCACATCCAACCACCCAGAATGGTCCCGATAGCAGACCCAACCAGAGGGGCAATGCCGATGAGGAGACCTACGGATGTTGGGGACAGATTATAGGGGGGAGCCCTAAAGATCTGGTCGGCCACGGCACCCTGGATAATGACCCAACTGTAGGTGACAGACCACATTGCGCACGCCCAGACGATAGCCGGGTGCCGGGGAAGGCCCAGGGGACGGAGAAGAATGGGGATGAGCTGAGTGACGGGCTGCATCTGAACATGCTGCAGCCCCAGAGTTTGCTTCCACAGAACCGGCTTGTCAGGGGGGCCTACGGAACTGACATCTCCGACAGAGCCTAGCGTCCCAGGCGCTGGACTATCCGGCCTCTTTGCTTCAAGATGGCCCGAGACAAAGATAGAAGGTTCGACACCGGTAACAACCGAGTCACGGTCGAACAGTGTCTCAGGCATAAGAAAGAAGCTGAAGACAAAGGCGAGGGCGAACGAGATCGCTAGCAGACGGAAGCTCCACTGCCAGGAGAGGCCGGTTATGACATAGCCACTGATGACTGGGGCTGCGTTGACTGAAACGATGACGGCAAAGTTCCAGAGTCCAGCACGACTACCACGTTGGTGAATGAAGAAGACGTCGTTGATGGATGCTGTGCCGGCGACAGAGAAGAAGGTGCCCATACCGAGCCCCTGGAAAATACGAGCACCCAGGAGGCTGTTATAGGACTTGGCGCTTCCAGCCCAGACGCAACCAAAGACCATAATGAGCGTTGTAAACAGAAAGACTAGCCGCCGACCCCAAAGGGTGGTTAGAGGGCCGCAGACGTAGGCGCTAACCCCTAGAGCCATGACCAGAGATCCATTGAGGAGCGTCACCTGAGTCAGGTTGATCTGAAAGGCGGCGGCGACGATGGAGAAGACTGGGACCAGCACTGGACCGACGACACCAGTCACACAGGCCCCATAGATGAGAGCGGCAAAGTACAGCTCTTTGCGGATCCGTGACATGTTCAGGGGATCAGCTGGCGAAGCAGACGGCTGCGGCACGAGGACTATCTCGGCATCTTGCGCGCCGACAGACACATTTTTGAGGAGCGCTGTACCAGGGGGTGAGGGCTGGTTCGCCGCAATCTCGAGGATGCCAAATGCCATCGTTTTTTTATTCCTGTAATAGAAAGGGACAAGAGACCAGAGCTGATGGAGGTGGAAAGGACAGGATAGGATATGGTTTGGCCAAGAATCTCTGCATGATGGTCCATCCACTATATACTCCCGACTTTATTAATCAACTCAATATGTACTACCCCATACCAAAGGTCTCGTTTGGGCAGTAGATAACTAAGCGCGGGTTGGTCGATGCTTGTTGAGAGCGACTAGGGAGATAGGTGATAGCGGCACTGATCTTGCCGCCGTGATAGGTACAGAAGCTCCAATCAGAGTCGTTCCTGGGAGATAAAGGCCCGCAATCTTTCGCTCGCGGCGGGAGTGGAGTTCCCGCCGTGATAAAGTTGTGACTACAGTGTAGATAGGCATGGGTTTGTGGACAAGGCAGTGACCTATCGATCCATAATCTTGGAAGTCATACATTGCAAAAAGGGACAAATAGGGCATATCATAAACGATTACGTACTTAGGTTGCGAAAAGTATCTAGCCTGTAGTTTCTCATAAAGGCTCGACATTCCTTCTCGTTCGCCTGGCACCACACTCCTCATCATCACCGACTTGAGAGCCGCCGCCCATCATGACGCAATTCAAGCAGAAGCATGTTCGCGTCGCCGTCACGCAGGCAGAGCCGATCTGGCTTGATCTTGCCGGTACCGTCCAGAAGACATGCGATCTGATCACCGAAGCAGCATCAACGGGCGCCGAAGTCATAAGCTTCCCTGAGTGTTGGCTCTCGGGATATCCGGCTTGGATCTGGTAAGTATATCAATTCATCCGCCAAACTCTGTACGGAAGGGAGAAATTTATCGCTGTCTAACGCTCAATTGTGGTGACAGGGACCGTCCGGTGGACCCAGAGTTGGCTGCCCGTTATATCCGCAACTCTCTCGTTGTCGAGTCGGCTGAAATGGAACGCATCAGGGCGTGCGCGGCAGCAAACAAGATTATTGTAGCTCTGGGCTTCTCGGAGAGTCGTCACGGCTCGCTCTATATTTCGCAGGCCATCATTGGGGCTGACGGACAGATCTTGACGCTTCGGAGCAAGATCAAGGCTACCCACATGGAGCGGACAATTTTTGGCGACGCTACCGCCGAATGTCTCGATAGTGTCGTGGATACGCCTCTTGGCCGGATAGGTGCTCTATCCTGCTGGGAGCACGTCCAACCGCTTCTTAAGTACCACACCTACTCGCCCGGAGGAGGATACTCGGCCGTTTTCGGCCCTGACGGTCGGAAGCTGTCAACCAATATTCCATCGGACAAGGAAGGCATCATCTATGCTGATTTGGACATTGACAACATCCTACATTCAAAGGCCTTCTTAGATGTGGTTGGCCACTATAGCAGACCTGATCTGCTTTGGCTCGGCGTGGATACAGCAGTGAAGGCTCATGTGAAGTTATAGAAAGAACCTGCTACTCTTTAACGGCCTTTGGGTACAGATCAAGGTTACTTGAGCGGCTAAAGGGCTGGGGTCCTATTATTAAAGGAGAAGGAAGGAGTTTCAAACAACATGTCAGCGGTGCAATTTAGGTCAGGGTTAGCACCTATATACAGCAACAGCCATGGGTCTTGGGGAATAATCAATCAAGTCCTTACTTCAATGTGTTTACCAATCCCTAACTTCCTCTGTCTCCCATTCCTCCTTTTGCTACCATACCTATCCTTTCAGTTAGTCTTCACTTAGACTCGTTATCTTCGCCAGTATTATCCCCGGATGCTTTCCTCCTGCGCTTAGAGCTTTTTTTTTTTTAACTTCGTCCTTTCTTTTTCCTTCCACTTCTGCTTCTCCTTCCGCTTCTCTTTCTCCTTGTCCTTTATTAGTAGTCTACATAGGGTCGGGGTTAGCATCTGTGTGTAGTAGCGGCCGCGGGTCTTAGTAAAGTTTTTCTTACTTTAAAAAATTAACTTTAAGGGCTTTTAGAAGTATTTGTATTATAATTCATAGGGCATCCCAGCCAATCTTATGCCTCTAGGTCTGCCTTTGCCTTAAGGTCCCAATATTTCCTCTCTGCGCCATAGGCACTTATGGAGCGGCTATCCCTAGAAAAGAAGAGGAATTTGCATGCTCCAGAAAGTATAGAGAGCTGGACGAGAGAAAGCATTCGAGCAGGTTAGCAGCTAAAATACATAGACCTGGAGGATCGTCATGAGAGATATGGTTCTTGGAAACTGCCCTGAATCGCCCTAATATATAGGCAGAGTTGCCGTGGCTCGCATGCCGTTGAAGTGCTTCTACTGATTCAGCTCATGCGAGGACAGCTAGTGGCGAGACCTAGTGGCAGAGCAGCCAGGGGCTGTCCGTGATGTTCTGTAGGATATTGCTACTATATTAATATAGGGTATGCAGGATGTGGAAGTTGGTGTTTGTCCTAAACAGCCTGCTAAACATAGTCGTAATGTATAAGAATACCCTACGCATAGGCAATGGGATACTTTTCAACTTGTGCATTGCCAAGTTGTCTTGGCTCGGGCACTGGCTGTCACTCTGATACCGTCGTTGGCCGCCACCCCTGAGATAATCGCCAGGCCCAGGGAAGTGGGGCGGCGTTTTCACACGCTTGCAGCGTCTTCCCGAGGCATCAGAAAAGTCTGGAAGCCGAAGTGGCTGCGGAGCTGATGACGCAGGCAAGAAGAGGCGCCGGAGGAGGCGAAGAGAGCCTAACGTTCGGTGAGCCAATGTTACGTCATGGGGTTTGTTCATGGAATAGTTTTGTTGTCTGATCATTAGACATCTATCATGCCATCGTTCAAGAGCATAAACACTCATGAGATGCCCAACACGGGGTCTGTCAATTTTCCCCATGGACCCTTTGATCTCAAGCTTTCCGCTAAGGAAACATGTGATGAATTGTTGTTATTCATCTTTTCGCGGGTTCTCTTACGCATAACCCCAAATGGCTTCTCTGCATGTACCCACTTTCGTTGAGAAGTGTCCGCGCTGAGCTGTGCATGGACCATGATTCCACCAGGACTTCGAAAATCAAGACCCGGACTGGGGATGGTGGTGATAACTGGCCCGCCTTTCTCGGGCCGAACTCTTCTCAAAGTGGAGAAGGTCTCGGGGTGAGCGAATAACTGAGGGGTTCAGTTGGAGTAATCCAGGGGTAGCGAAGTTAACCTGGCCGATCCAGTTACTCCGCACCAAGCCATATTGGGGGAAATCGCCAAGGTCGGAGGGAATCACCTTGACAGTGGAGGACATGTATTGGCCACCGTTTCAGCAACAGAAGGCCTGTGCCTGACCCGCAACGTCCTGTCCTGATAATCTCAAGTAATGAGGTGGCAAGAGCGACAGTAGCCGCGAATCTCTCTTGGATGAGCCGTTTTGGGGGAGCCGCTAGACCAAAAGAACCCAAGCTGCGCTACTTAAAAGTGGTCAAGTCAAGACAGTCGAGCAGAAAATCTCTTCACTCGTCTGAACGCTACCGGCTTCCAGCGGCTCAATCTTGGGGAAACTTCTCCATCCGATGGGGCTCTACCATGTCAATGAATGAATAGGCCGTGCCATGCTCTGTTCAACACTCCGCCTAGGCCGGTATGCTGCGAGATATGGGATCTCTTTGACTGCGCGAAGACTCCCACACGGTACCAGTCTCCACTACTAGATCACTATCTAAGTCGCATACTAGCTCTATGGCGAGATGTTAGTTCTATATCTCAATTTGAGTGAGGGTAGAGAGATATTAACCGTGATTAGTGAAGATCCCTGCAAGATACCCAATGGGAGTCTTCGCGCAGTCAAAGAGATAATGGCTCCTCAGGCTATCCCTGTCTCCCAGAAAAACCCCCATGGGGCCACGAACTCCGAACCACATCAACATGGATTGGCAGGTTCCAGTCGGGTTCTAGAAGGAAGGTGCCCACTGTGGTCTACGCGATGCGAGTCAGGCTGGGGCAAGATATCAAAATCTCCACGAGATTACAACTCTGTTGCTGGCCGAAACGTATTGTAGTGGATCTACCCCAGGCCGAGAAGGAGACGTTTATATAGTCGCCAAGAATGCCAGTCCTCTTCCCCAGACTCCCCCATCTATCCAGCGATCACCCCAACACTCGCTCTCTCCCACCCATCAACGACCATCCGCGATGAGCCACTACGACTCCGAGAATCGGGTCCCCGAGGCTCCCACCAAAGCCCACCATGTCGAGGACGAGCCAGGGGTGACCAACGATGCCGTTTTTGGTACTATTCACCAAGACGGCCCCAACTACCGCAACGTATGAATCATTTTCTTATCCGAGATGGCAATCAAGGACTGACATGTCACTTAGGTAGGATGGCTTGGAACGTCGGTCCTCATGATGAAGTCCCAAATCGGCCTAGGTGTCTTGTCCATCCCAGCCTCCTTCGACGTCCTCGGCTTGATCCCTGGTGTTGTCTGCCTGCTGGTAATTGCAGTCCTCACCACGTGGTCCGACTACATCGTCGGAAGGTTCAAGCTTCGCCACCCTGAGGTGTATGGCATCGACGACGCAGCTGGACTCATGTTTGGTCGAGTTGGCAAGGAGGTCTATGGCATCTCATACGCTCTCTACACCATCTGTATCGCCGGTTCTGGCATGCTCGGCATCTCGATCGCCCTCAACACACTCTCCACCCACGCAACCTGCACTGCAGTCTATGTCGCCGTGGCCTGTATCGTCGCCTTCATCACCGCCAGCGTGCGTACGCTCGACCGTGTCAGCTGGCTTGCATGGATCGGCCTGGTGACTCTTGTCTCAGCCAGTCAGTAATCTCATATCTACCTCTCTGGTGAGAGATACCTAACAACGTCTGTAGTCTTTGTTGTGACCGTCGCCGTCGGCGTCCAGGACCGCCCTGACGCGGCGCCTCAGGTGGGCGAGTGGAAGTCCGACTATAAGCTGGTCAACAGCCCTTCCTTTGCGGATGCCATCTCGGCCATCTCGGCCTTTGTCTTCGCCTACGCCGGCACACCCGTCTTCTTCCCGATCGCGGCTGAGATGCGCGAACCTCGTCACTATAAGAAGGCGTTGTTCCTTTGCCAGGCCGTCGTTACTGTCACGTATATTGTTGTTGGAATCGTTGTCTACTACTATTGCGGCACCTATGTTGCATCCCCAGCCTTGGGATCTGCTGGCAAGACTATCAAGAAGATCAGCTACGGACTGGCTCTCCCTGGTCTGATCGTCAGCGCATGTCTCTACACTCATGTGAGTATCATCCATACCGATCAAATCGGGACGGGTTGCTAGCACCAGGCCAAAACGCATAAACTAACCAGTGGAAATAGGTCCCCGCCAAGTATGCCTTTATCCGCTTCCTACGAGGCTCCAAGCATCTCACCGCCAACACCTTTACCCACTGGTCTACTTGGCTCGGCTGCACCTTTGCCATGGCCGTCATCGCGTACATCATCGCCAGCGGTATTCCCGTCTTTGGCGGCCTCGTCTCTCTTGTCGGTGCGCTCTTGGGAACATTTCAGTGCCTACAGCCCATGGGCTGTATGTGGTTGTTTGACAACTGGCACAAGGGCAAGAACAAGGAGCAGCGAACTATCAAGTGGACTCTTATGGCCATCTGGAGTGTGTTTATCATTGTGATCGGTACGTTCTTGATGATTGGAGGCACTTATGGCTCCATCGTTGGTATCATCAACTCTTACAACAAGAGCGGCGGCTCTGCTGCTTGGTCTTGCGCTGACAACTCGAACTCGACTTGACCTGGGTCATGGGGCCCGAAGATGAATGTGCATTTAGATAGAGATATGAGGTGCAGGTTATGAGTGTTCCAACAATAGATCCTGATCGCTACCAATATATTGTCAAGTGCTTCCATGGCATTGAAGCTATGGCACCGAAGATGATAGACGTATAGGCCAGAAGCTTAAGGGGTAGTAACCTACTATCTTAGTTTCTCGCTCATGTGCCCTTTGATCTATTACCCCATGGGGTTTTCTAACTGGCGAGATATCGAAAGAGATGATAGACACCGCTCGTTCTGGAAAATATCCATCACACTTGGTTCTTCACTAGCATACGACAATCTCACCACCTCTCCTGGCCATTCTCGACTTCCACAATGACTTCGGATATTGAAATCAAGATGCAGAATCACGCGGAATGCGAAGAAGATGTAAATGCCAACAGGGTAAAGGATGAGCATATATCCAGCCCGTCATGGACGATCATTGTCACAGTAATTTACGCCATATCGTGCGAAAGCTCGATATGACGGTGATGCCAATGATTTGGGCATTGTACCTTTTTGATTTGTGGACTATATTGAGGCTTCATTGATGTCTTTGGTCGCCTTTCCCGACAAGCACCGCGCCTAGGAATAATAGTCTACAAGGTTATACCAGTCAATTGTTCGCCTCTTCCTCATCTTTATCACACAACGGCCTGTCAGGCAGACGTACAGCACTCATTACAATTCCCGGGCTATCAGGACTCAATCCAAGATGTGTCTCGAGACCGAGGCGCCAGACGCCAGGGTAGAATATCCGTGACTGAAACATGTACATGGATCCAATGAGATGAAACCTGTCTACCTCCAGTCCTGTGGCGCCTGGAATCTCGTGACGAACAAAGTCGTACCATTTGTGCTCAACAAGCCGCTGGATAACAGCCGAATATTGATTTGGTTGCAGGGCGTCCGAGTCAGCAAGTCGTTCAAGCCGGGCAAGCCATTCCTCTTGGGTGAGATTACGACCGAGTTCGACGCCTTCTCCAGACCCATCACGGCAAGGCTTGTATACAAAGCCATCCTTGACGGTCGAATCAGCAGCCGACTTCTGCCACAATACCTGGAGTTCCGCAGAGCCAGGAATAAGTGTCTCGACAATACCCTCTGCCACAATGTCGGCCTCATCAGCCGTCAGCACGCCCCGAGCCACCATACCCGGAAGCTCTTGTGGTAAGATTCCCAGAAGTCGCTTATCGTGCACCAGTAAAATGGTCCGAAGGTCGTTGAGGGGGGTAAGCGCCAAGTGGCGAGCCACGGCCGGATCCAGGCTAGCCCACTCATCCTGCATCATCTCTGCGAACCACTGCGGTATCAACACGTTGGAAGATCGATCCCAGAGAGCGTGTCCTGTGACAGAAGAGTCATCCGGGCGTATCTCCAGATCGGCTGGGCGAACAATGCGTGTTGGTTGATTTGTGGTCACAGTCCAGGCAGGTAGGAAAACGGCAGAGTCGACGCCAGGCCACTTGTCGCGGATGCAAAAGAGTGGTTTAGTCTTATCGAAAAAGTCCATCAGACGCTTACGTGATTCCTAGAGTATTCCAGACATGTCAATAGCTATACTTCCATTTGAGGGCGTAGAAACAGTGGTTACCTCTAAGCTGCTTATGGACTGAAAGTCGGGTTTTCCAGCCCCAAATCGGGAGATGCCGCTCGCATGGTGCCCGACAGCTAGAATGCCATTGAGTGGTAGTCTCCCATTAATTTCGCAGACTTGAGGTGCCTCATCACTCAGACCGTCTGAGCTGCGTCCAAAAAGAATATCAGTGCGCCAGCAACCGGTGTGTTGAGAGTACTCGGGCACTTTTCCACTGTTGGTAACCCATCGTAACAACAACTCCTCATCGGGATCTAATGGCATCCGTTCTGGTAGGTTCGCCGTCTGATCTGTGAACCATCGATCAACGAGGTCAATCACGGCGCGGCCGAGCAAGACATGCAGTCGTTTCAGTTGTGAGAGCTTGGGATCCGATATCGCAATTGCGTGTGGTGATAGGCGGGCAAACAAGTCATTCGCCATCTTAGCACCCCATGTGTCAATGTTGATCTGCTCTCGCAGCAATCCGAGTTCTCTGGCTCGCCGAGAAAGACCGCTGCGGTGTGCAGGGACAATGAGGTTCTCCTCGGTGCTGCGAGACACTGAAATCTGCAAGAGCGCCGGCAGATCCACAGACATGGCTGGCATGATAGCTAACGTGGTTCGTGAGAGTTGGCTATAGTTTATTAGTTGTATAGAAGGAGCAAAAGTTTTTTGATGTAGTGAAATTTCTGAGGATCTCAACCAAAGCAACTATGGGTTTGGTATCGAGCCTGGAGAGGTGATATAAAAGGCGCATTCGGATGTCAGCAGCATAAAAGGTAACATTACCACGTGAAACCAAGGCCGAAAGTATGCGTCAGCAGTCACACGTTACTAGCTTTTATCCCTGGATAAGCATACAAATATACCTACGCGAAGGAGCTCAAGGATCCTGCTGGTGAGATTATGTCAGCTGACAGGAAATAGATACTGCTTGGCTCATCTAGCTGTGCATTTGATATACTTGCCTTTTCCGAACCTTCCTAAACCTCAATAGCGTATCTTTCGGTCCAGACCATATTCTCTTCGTTGCACGACGCTCCCAACCAGCACAGCTCAACCTTTGAGCACATCATTAAGTCACTACGAGATTCAGTTATCAATATTTCTCCTCATACTCAGTTGAGTGGCTGCATCCCTCGGTAAGCCCGCAGCTATGAGCGTCTGTACTTGGGTACGGCTAGTGTTGGAACTATGATTGCATCTAAGAAAGACGTATAGTTCAACAGAAAAACCTGGCACATCGAGCAATATCTACATTCTAGAGTAGATTCCGGGCGCCGACGTGAATGCCCCACCGGACGGGCGGATGGTCGAAGCTGGGGCCCAGCGCAGATGTGGCTAAGTACAACAGCAGGCGGACGATGTCCAGCTGATTTACACTGGTCGGCCTGAACCAGAGTTTATACGAGATATCCCTTCTTTGATAGGTGAGGAGAACTAGGAAAAGATGTCCCTCCCAGTGAATTTCAAGCTGAATGAGAAGGCATGGTTTGATGAGAAAGCTACACTATTATTAAGAAAGGCTTTGAGGGATGCAGCAACAAAGGTCATCCCTTGGGCTATTGGAATTGCTGCGGCCTGGTGGGCGTGGTCTCAGTGGGTGGATAGCATAGAGAAGGTAGACCAGTGGTGAAAGCTACGAACTTCCAAAATACTAAAATTCGTTGTACTTGAATCATAAAGTCTCTGGCTAGTTCCAATTATGCTTCGTCACCGGACTTAGAGGGCGAATCTGACAACCATGTTATGAAAACTCTCGTGACACTATCAACGTCCATCCCTCGCCTCGCTCGCATCTGCGCCGCCTGTTTCATGCTTGCTTCCACCCTGGGGCTCCGTGGGCTTGTAGCTCTTTTTCAGTCCACTCCCACAGCTTTGCTGATAGTTCGTCATCTCGAGCTAATTTGCTTTCTTTTCCCTCCTTGCCAATCGGCTCATAGTAATGCCCATTCTTCACATCCTTGCTGAAGCTACACCACAGTTGAGTTTTGCAGCCCTCCTCGTTGGTAACCCCGGTCAAAGCAACTGCAGGCTTAACCAAGACGTTAAAAATCAGCCAGTTGACGTCTTTGTTGCCACCCCAAACGCCCGACTTGACTGTGCCAGGGTGTAGTGAGGTCGATGTGATCTGAGGGAACCGCTTGGCGAGTTCGTAAGCAAAGAGGGCCTTGGCGAGCATGGCTTGGCCGTATAGTTCGTGTCCTCCATGATTACCCATATCCGATTTCAGTTCGTCAAAGATGATGCCGGAGCTGGGAGCAAAAGGCTTGTGTCCAACGGACGACATGGACACAATCCTTACATCGGCTCCAGGCATAGCGGCGGTGGCGAGCAGTTTCGGCATCAAGAGTTGGGTGAACAGGACATGTCCTAAGTAATTCGTCCCGAATTGTATCTCGTAACCCTCTGCAGTGGTTGCGGGAGGGATCATGGCGATGCCAGCGTTGAGTTGGAGGATATCTAGTCTTTCGACTTCCTTGTTGACTCGCTCAGCCGCAGCCTTGATAGAATGGAATGATGAAACGTCCAAGTCCAGAAGGTCGATATTTGCCTTTTCTGCGGCTGGCGATGAAGCCTGGATTTCCAAGCGGGCAGCTTCGGCCTTGGAGCGAGAGCGTGCCGCCAGATAGATCTTGGCAGGGTTGTGCTTTGCGAGAGCCTTGAGTGTCGCCAATCCTAGACCGGTGTTGCTACCTGTAACGAGGCAAACTTTGCCGCTGAGGTCTGGAATGTCAACATCAGGGTCGAAGGAAGCCGAGCCAAACCAACAGTGGTGTTTCTCCATGACTGTAGAAGGATGCTACTACAAGATCAAGATGATAAGTTCTTGCTAGATTGAGTTCTAACAACGTTTAGACGGGACTTTGAGATCCCTTTATACTTGGAAACCCGACCAGCCCTGTGAGGCTGGTGCTAGAGTTTCCTGTTTGCATCTTCAATCAGAGATCCTGAAGGAATATGCCATGCATTATTGCAAGTGCATCAGACGGTGGTAAGAGTTACTTGGAACCCTTAAGCAGTTGATCCCATTGAGGCCAACCTGATAGGTATCTTCTATCAAGCCATGCGTTGTGACCATACGAGTGACCCAATTGCATCAATGGCGTGGATAATCCAGTGCAACACTGACCAGGGGGTTTCCAAAAGAGGCAAACAATGTCTCGCCTAGCGCTATGCAGTCGGACGAATATTCCACCGCTGCACACCAATGGCGATCGACCGGCAAAGCTGGGACCCGACCCGGCTCAACTGCTCGGACTTCCTCTGATATCCCGTATCCCACCCGAACCAACGGAAACAGGCATCCTTCTACATCTTTGTCAGCCGCGCTCTGAGCCGCAAGCCCGCATGCGTCACGTCCAGCAAAGAGGTTTCCGGCAATGTCCACATTGCAACCAGAAGCAAATGTAGCTGCAGAAAGTCGTCGGTCTAGGGCGCCAAGTCATCCGAAGCGCCACGGATTTGTTCTCTTGGCGACCGACAGTTTAGGCAGGCCAAAGGCGTCAGATCGAAGACTGATCCGAAGCCACTGCATGCGCGGCAAAAACAAGCGAAGCCCTCCCAACCATTCAGACGCTGGGCACGTGCCCCTTAGTGATGACCTCTTTCCATATTTACCGGATAGTCAAGGAGCCTCGTCAGAAGGACCGTCGAATCGGAAGTCTCGTGTTACGGTAGTGATCGAGGAAGATGGTGTTGAGCGACTTCCGGCACCCCAACCTTGCCCACGTGCGGTTCGTTTAGCAGTGGTGATGAATTCCGATTCTTACGAAATTATGGCAAATAGTAAGACTAATTTATGATTTTAAGTAAGAAAGTAACAGTTTGCTCACGTTGCTTTAGTCTGGCCTGGTACACTGAGGGCGTTCTCACTCGCTGGATTCGGGCTTCCCTGTGACATCCGATCAACACAGTGGCGGGATTGGCTTCTGACAGACCCTGCGTATGTTTGTTCCATGGTTGCCGTATGCGCAGCTGTTCGAGACTTTCTTCTAAATCGAGAGAAATCAAAAAGCACATCACTGTACCTCAGGAAGGCTATTTCCCAGCTAAACCAGACCCTCTCGATTCAAAGCCGCGCGCTTGTTAACCCAACTGTCGCCACTGTCTTTGCTCTGGGTGTCGCGTCCGCTATCGGGAACGATCAGGCAGGCATGTTGGCCCATGCAGCTGGTCTGAAAGAGATAATTCGCCTCCGTGGTGGTATGGACAGCTTCCGTGGTAATCCACAACTGCCAGTTGTGCTTTCGCGGTGAGTATTTCTTGATCCGAACTTGCGATATATTGACTCACCTGATTGAGTGTTGATTTGTGCTTGACATTGAGTACCGGGCAGAAACCCATCTTTCCTCAAACCGACCCTGTCTTAGCTGCTCGTTCCTTGATTAGTCCTGCCTACAGCTTGGGCTATCTACCCCTACCTCCAGTCAGAGGACAGATGCTCGATTTTCTTCAGGACTCGAGGCTGGTATCGATATTTCTCAATCTACAGTTCCTTGTCCACCGGCTAAACCATGCAACATCTTCAGCCCCTCATAGTATGCTGGAGTCTGAGTTACATGCAGGGATATGGACGGCACAGTATCAACTTCTGGAGCTTCAAGGTGCCATTGAAGATCTCCTTGGAGAGTGTTTTCGTATGACAATGTTGGCGTTTCTGACGACGACCTTTAACGTGATGGGTATCAGAATCAAGTACAAGCATTCCAGCGATCAGTTGCGGAACCTGTGCTGCGCAGTCGAGCCATCGACGGAACGACTCGGCCACGCCATGTTTTGGATATTGATGATTGGGGGCCTGGCATTTTTCGACCGCGATGAGACCTGGCTGCGCGACAAGTGAAAATGGGAGGTACTACCACTGACTCGAGGCTTGGAATGGGAGGAGGCGAGAGAGCTGTTGCAAGAGTTTATTTGGATTAATTACTGTAATGACGCCGTTGGCCGGCTCTTTTTTAAGGAGATGAACAAGGCGTAGAATAGTACTATCAAGACCTTGCCCTCAAATATTTATTCCTAGTGCCGCTTAGAAATATCCGCGAACTTCCTAGCAGGGACCTACTAACAATTCAGCAGCAATCTCTAATAAAATTCATAAAAAATCCCATATAAAAAGAAATATAAATTATAAAAGCATAGGGTAAGATTTATAGAAAACTAAGGGGTAAGATTAATTAGGTAAAATAAATAATAATATTTATAAAAAAGGTATATATTAAAAGATTATATTTAAGTAATATTATATATATCACGGCCATAATATAGTCAAGGGCAGTAATACTAGGTAAGAAACTAACCCTACTACGCTAATAAATCATAGGGAAGGAAGATATATAAGTTAAATAAAGTTAATTTAACTTCCCTCGATTATATAAGTTAAATACTAATAACTTAATTTAATTTAATTATATTTAATTATATTAGGTAAATAATATATAAAATATACTTATTATACTTTCTTATATATTAATTACCTTATGTCACGGCCATAATATGGTCGAGGGCGGTAACGCTAGGCAGAAAACTAACCCTATTATATTAGCTAATCATAGGGCAAGAAGATATATAAGTCGAACGAAGTCGGTTTAACTTCTCTCGACTATATATATTAAATACTAATAACTTAACTCGACTTAATTATATTTAACTTAAAGACTAAATAATATATAAAATATACTTATTATATTTTCTTATATAATAATTACCTTAGCTATTAATATAACTTAGTTATACTTAATACCTTAAGTATATTATTAGACGTAATATTATATTACCTTTTAAGGTTATATAATATTTTCTTTTATTAATATAAATTAATATAACTAGTTTATCCCTTAAGAACCCTATAATTATTATATATTAATAGCTCTTATTTAGAGGATTACTTATATTACCTTAAATAATATTAAATATAATAGCTACTTAAGCTACTCTTAGTAATAACTACTAATAGGCTCTACCTATTAACTACTTATTTACCCCTATTATATTAATTTAGGCTAACCTTAATAGTAATAAAGAGATAAATAGCAATAATAAAGAAGTTAAGTAACTCTATACCTAGGTTATTATTATAACTACCGAAATAGAGGAACTTAGAGGACTTATCGATTATATAGCTATTACTTAATAAGCCTAAAATTAATAATACTATAAGAATATTTAGAATATTAATAATATAGTAATTACCGCTATAAAAGGCAAAGATATTAGAGAAATCCTAAAGCTAGAATAACTAAAGAAGTTTAATAATATTATATATAAGTTATTAATATTCTTTATATAATTATATATATTTATACTTTATTACCCTACTTAGTTTACTATAGTATTTAATAAGATTTAATATACCGCTAGGTATCTTACTAAGTATATTATAGCCTAGTTTAAACCTACTATAAAGGAATACCTTATTAAACTACTTAATAAATACTTACCTTAAACTATAAATCTCTACTCTAGCTTTAAAACCTTTAAAGCTATATTTTAATAAGCTTTTAAAATAATAAATAAAAAGGCCTAGGCAAAAAGAGAAATTAAGGTATTTTAATAAACTTACTCTATATTAAAATATAATATTAAATACCTCTAGCTTACCTTAAAGCTTAATTAAGACTAAAAACCCTTAATATCCTTTTTTTTTAATAAACTTAAGAAAGAGGTATAGGCTAAACTCTATAAGGAAGACTAACTTAATAACCTCGTCGATTATATTAGCTAAGTAATTAAGATTAATAACTAATAGTTCTCTTAAAAGAGACTCTAGAACCCCTATTACCTATGAAAAACGTCGGCTAAGCTACTAATGTTTTTTTTCTATGGGAAAAAAATTCTATGCTAGCAGACCATAGGGCAGCCGATATTTTTTTTTCTAATTAGCCGATATTTTCTAAAAAAGAGGGTTCTATTAAGGCTAAGGTTATAAAAAGAAGATATATATAACTTTAAGCTACGAAGAGTTTAAAAATAAAATCCCTTTTCCTATAGTATTTTTTTAGAATTAATTATTAATTTTTAAAGAAAATTAAGAGAAATTTTAATAAGGTAATTAATATAGCTAGCGCTACGCTAAAACTCCTTAACTACCGCTATAACCTAGGTACCTAGCTATATTAACCACCTCGCTAGCTATAGCTAAGGTAATTCCTTAGCTAATAAGCTTTAACCTCTATTTTTCCTCTTTTATTTACTCTTCTATAAAGACTCTAACCTTTCCTAACTATCTATTTTTAACCTCTACCTTTATTTATATTCTAGCTACCTATAAGCCTTATTATTATAGATTATTTTACTTATATCCCTGCTTTTTCCCTTCTAATTTATAAGACTTATAAAACTATAATTCTTTTTAACTAAATTTAATAATACCTCTATTAATAGCCTTATTAGCTTTCCCTTAAAGAGATTAAGCCTACCCTAGAGTAGGCTACTAAGCTTAATCTTCTTTAGGGCTAGAAGGACCTTATAGGGCTACCTAAGCCTATTCCTCTAGGCCCTCCTATCTTATAACTTAGAGAGCCTATGTAATAGGGCTTCCGCTATACCTTTAAGCCTAGCTACTTCTATATTAGCTCTAGGCTATGGCGAATTAAAGAGCACCTATAGGTCTTTTATAAGGTATAGCAAAAGGGTCAGAAGGGCCAGCCTTCTAAGGCAATAGCCTTATAGCCTTCTATAGCTACTAAAAGCTATTAGCGAGCTAATATAGCCTATTAATAGCTCTTTAAGTAAGGGCCTCGTAGTAAATACTTTAAGGTCTTACTAAAAGGTAATAGCTCTAAAGCTCTCTCTTTTCTAGAGATTAAGGCTACCTTTAAGGCCTAAGCCTTAGCTATTAAAAGTAAGGAGGCTAAGGCTATAAAGTAGCTTAATAACTTTATTACTCTTAACCCTTAGCTTTAAAGGCTAGGATTAATAAGGTACTTTATTAGAGAAACAGAACATACTAACCATAGCTAAAACTTCTTATATAACTTTCTTCTAATAACTTTCAAAAAAGAGATTTTATATACTTTCTCGTAAATTAAATACTATATGAAATAATAAGGGCAAATAATTAATTAATAATAATAAAGATCTTCTTAAGAAAAGAGCCCTTAAGCTCCTTATTCTTAATCCGATCTTTTAAGAAAATAATAATAATAATAGTCAGGGCCGCGGCCTTGGCCCTTTTCTACGTATAGGAAATTGCCTAATAGCCTAAAATGGCCTAGTATGCCTCTCCCTTAACTCATAGCTCCCCACGAGGCTTTAATATTTATCCTTATAGTTCTTAAAAAGCCTTATTAATCCTAGATACTTCTTTCGCCTATTTTAGCCCGTGACCTCCCTAACTCGATTTCTTACCTACTAGAGTACTTATGAATTATTTAATTATTTACCTTAGCTTCTTTGCCGCTTTTTTATTCTTTTATCCTTATTCTCCTTTAAAGCCGTGGCAGGGGCCTATAGCTACGCGGCTACTTATATAATATTATCCCACTGGGATAGTTTATTAGAGAAATAGAATATACTAACTATAGCTAAAACTTCTTATATAACTTTCTTTTAATAACTTTTAAAAAAGAGATTTTATATACTTTCTTATAAATTAAATACTATATAAAATAATAAGGGCAAATAATTAATTAATAGTAATAAAGATCTTCTTAAGAAAAAAGCCCTTAAGCTCCCTATTCTTAATCTAATCCTTAAAGAAAATAATAATAATAATTAGGGCCATAGCCTTAGCTCTTTTCTATATATAGGAAATTACCTAATGGCCCAAAATGGCCTAATATACCTCTCCCCTAACTCATAGCTCCCCATGAGGCTTTAATACCTATCCTCACGGTTCCTAAAAAGCCTTATTAATCCTAGATACTTTTTTCGCCTATTTTAGCCTATAACCTCCCTAACTTGATTTCTTACCTATTAGAATACTTATGAACTATTTAATTATTTACCTTAGCTTCTTTATTACTTCTTTATTCTCTCGTCCTTATTCTCCTTTAAAGCTATAGTAAGGGCCTATAGCTATGCGGCTACTTATATAATATTATCCTATTGGGATAATCTTATAAGACCCGCTAGTATATAAGTTATATAGTTCCTAGTTAATAGTCGCTATATAGGCTAGCTTTTTATCTCCCTAAGCTAGCCTTTTAACCCTAGAAATATTAATATAATCTTTATAGCTAGGCCTATTATTCTTTTTATTAGAGTATATTTATTATTGCTCTCTAAAATCAAGTAAATAAACTATTTAGCGCCCTAAATATTAGGTATAATATTAATAATATAGGGCTACTTATTCTTATACTCGCCCTAATTATAACCTATTATTATTTAATTAATTAGTTTATTGCCTTTTTAAGCCCTTAGCTTAGATTTTTTTCCTCTAGAGCTTAATAATAAGCTTAATTATATATACTTAGAGCTACTCTTCGAGGAGGGGCATAGGCGCTTTAGGGTACCTAGTAAGAGGGACTTTAGAGGCCTACTCGGAGTCTAGGGGTCTTTTATCTTCTCGGGAGGTACCGGGGTAATAGGCTTATTTATTACTATTAATACTATTAATAAAGGGAATTATAAGAGTTTAATTAATTACTTCTTATAGTTTAATATTAGGTTTATTAGCTTCTTTATTATTACCTTTAACCCCGGGTTAGATACTTTAGAACTTAATAAAGAATCTAATAAGATAAGTTCCCTACCTTTAAAAATTAATATATTATCCTTAATTTTAAAGTCTTAGCGCTTATATTATCTAATTAGATTATTAGGTATATCTATAAGGACTAGAGCTATAATAATAGCTAATAATAGCCTAGGTCTTCGCGGAAGAAATACCTTATCGCTAGGATTTATTATTAGGGCTAAGATTAAGTAATTAATTATTTAATTACTAATAATACTAATAGATTCTAGCTCTGCGG